ATAGGATTCCAGTCTTTGGCTGTGTTTTCACCATCTAATTTTCATGGGAGCAAGTCTTTAGAGTTTGTCCCTCTTTTCCCTCGTTAAGTTCTTGTATCACTTTTTACTTGCATGCATTCCACGCCCACCCAGAGCAACCAAGGAATTACCTAAGAGTAACCGTTTGGTTTTAGCATTTAGTTGCAAGCAGATTCACAAGCTGTAAAAGACTTCAGTCTGTTTTCTCACAGTAAGTATAGTCGTACCTTGGAAGTCGAACTGAATCCTTTCCAGAATTCCATTTGACTTCCAAAATGTTTGGAAACCAAAGCGCGGCTTCTGATTGGCTGCAGGAACCTCCTGCAGCCAATCGGAAGCCCTGTCAGACATTCAGCTTCCAAAAATAGTTCGCAAACCAAAACAGCCACTTCCGGGTTTACGGCGTTCAGGAGCCGAAACATTTGAGAACTAAGCTGTTCAAAAACCAAGGTACGGCTGTAGTACTTCTTTCTTTGCCGATCTGTTTGAGAAGAAAAGCTGCAGCGGGCTAACTGAAGCCAGGCAGATTCACTTGCAAGCAAGAGCTTCTGTTGTTCTCCTGAGTAGATCTGTTGGTAGAGGAGGCAATGGCAGTGTACCTTGCAATACCTCCTGGAATGTTGCAGCACAAATTAGTGCTTATTTCATGAATAAGATGTGCAAGCTAGAACTTGAATGTGTTTGCAGGCGGAGCCGCTGACCACACTTATTCAGACTGTATTTCAGCTGCATCTTCATTTGTCTTGGTTCGTGTAACTTTTTCTCTGCCTTTTCAGCTGTATACTGCTTTTTACATAGATAGATGCGTTGCTGTTTGGTTTTCATAGCTCATCAGCTCAGTTAATCACTGAAATGCCAGCATGAACTGAAAGGCTAAATATGTTGCAGAAGTACCATACAATAGCCAAGAATGATACTGGCACCTGCCTCTGCAATTGTCCAGTTTGTTTATTTCTTAATAAGAACATATGAGATGAAGAAGCTTGCCTTGTTTAGGTTGGGATGCCTATATGAAAATTGTCTTCCATCTTTTCCATAGAATTGTTTTGAGCAGAGCTAGAAAAATAATTGGCACCTACTGGTCCAGGGAAGCTAATACTTTGAGCTCTTGTGCTCATACAGTATAATCAATACTGTGATACTCTTTTCTTTCAAAGTTCTGAAGGAAATTTATTATTGAACAGGACATTCGTAGCTTCACTTCAGTTAGGCTACATAGTTAGTATATCTGGAAAGACTTTGGAAGTTGATCAGCATCAAAAGAAGAGAATGAGTTTTAGGTCATTCCGGAGCATGGCTAAATTTTTCAGGAAGCAAATTAGCTGAGAGCAACTCTCTTCGGTGATGCTGCAAGGCATTTACCTGCAATGCAGTGCTATGCATCTGCAGCTAGGTGGTGGAGGCAAATTCCTTTTCTCTCTTGCTTTTGCACAAAGCTTTGCTGTGTTCAGGAAGAACCAGCCCTCTGCTTGCAATTTATGTACCGCTATTACTTGCACCAGGGTGCCATTTAATTTTTGATGGCTCTTTCGAAAACTGTTGGCCCGACTTCAGAGATACCTTCATCAATGGGAGTTCGTGCTTCGTGCAGGTAAGCTTGCCTTTTACAGCATTTTTTAAAACCCAGATGGAAAAAAGGGAGTTTGGCTGCCTCAATGAGGACTTCTCTGAATTCCGTTTAAGCTCATAAATCTTCCTGAGGACACTGATTCAATTGTCGCCCTCCCGTAGCATGTAATCTTACCAGATGCTTAGCTTAAGAACAAATCCAATGAAGTTAGGTTGTAAAAGCAAGTAGATGTTCAGAAGCCCAAGGTGCTTGTTGGGGTGGATGTCTGCCAAATGTTCTGATATGTTAAAATGGATTCATTCAAGGCTTCCGTTAGCATTTGATGTGTTTCTAGCAGTGTAGCAGTTCTGACAGCTGTCTGTTTCTTATTCATTGAAATGCAGTCTCTGGAACTCTCACATCAGCCTTTTGTCCCTGCCTACAAGCTGACTTCTAAATCATTTAAATGAATCAGAAGATGCTTTCAGGTTTCTCTTCTTAGGAACAATTTGCTCAAATAAATCATTGTTTAGAATCAAATGATGTATTAAAATAAGGTCTTTGTACCTCCTATGCATGTTTTACCATCCTTGCCCATGCCCGTTTGGGGTGCATTTTAGGAGGGATACATTTTAGGAGGGCGGGGCAGGAGCAGTTGTGGGGATTGTATTGAGCATTTTTAAAAGATTTAATAGCAAAAGTACACATACTTTCCAAGAAACATTAGAGAGAAAATAATGCCTTTGAAAGGCAATCACATCTCTGCAATGTTATGTGGTCTTTTTCACTCCCTGGCAAATAATAGTTCACTCTCATTTTGAAAGTATAAGGACTTGAAATAAGTAATTGCAAAGATATTGAGCTCTCTGAGTCTTTGTAACATCACTCAGTGATAAGACATTCAGACTTCCTTTAGATAAAGGATCAGGATAGTTCTCAAAAGCTTTATGAAGGCTTTCTAGTAACTTCTTTGCTGCAGGAAGATTGTGCTTGTGGAAGAGATGTGTGATTGCAGAATATTCAGGGAATTTCAAACAGCGTTTTTGCCTGGAAAAATAGCTTTAAGGCTTACCTAATTCCTTGTCGATGCAGACCCTAGAACGTTCTGTCATTAAAAACCGATCTAGTAAACCTTAACAATTCAGCGTTCCCATAGTTATGACGTAATTAATGAAGAGATTTGCTGTGATGGGTGTGGCTTCTAGAGGGATCACATTGATTTCATCCTTATTCATTTCCTCTCTAGGTTTGAGATTTATTGGGTAGCATTATGATTTTTAAAAATCATTGTCTGCAATTGTCTTAACTTTTGTTTAACATTTGATTTTGTGTTTATTCCTGTATGTGCTCTCCCCGCATTAGGCTAACTGTGAATAATTACAGCTTCTAATTTTTGCCAAAGAAAGGTGTAGGGAGTTTAAATAAATCTTCAAGAGATGAGTGTGTGGAGGGAACAGTCAGTTTAGAATGTGTGTAAAATGTTCCAGAAGTGTACATGAGCACTCTTTGCAAGTATGCTGATTTATTTATTTTTGTTTGAACATCCCTACACCAAACCCCGCGATAGCTGTATTTCACAATTGTTTTGTGAAACCAGTTACTTTACAAAAGGTTTATTTGTTACTCTGTAAAATAACTGTTATGTGTTTTATATAATGTTGTCACATAGCTGTCAATAAGAAGAGAATGAAGAGGGAAGCAATTTTTGGCTATTCCCCCTACCACTAACAACCCTGTGCACACGCAAAAATCTTCTCCAGAGGGTTGGGGACCTTCAGAGCATTGATTTATGCCTTATGATCAGCTGAGCAACTCAGTATTTAACAAACAAAATCCAGGGAGTGACTAGATATAAGTATGTTTCTCTTGGTATTCAAATATAATATGTCATGGATCACTGTAGCTGTCAGTCTAAAGCCTGACAACTACTAGTTGACAGCATGCAAGTTGTAGTTACATGTTTCTAGATATGCATGACTATTTTTCTTTCTGCTGAAAGATTGGGTTTTTCTTTTCTGCCACTCTATACAGTAGCTTGAAATTCCCGTTTTTCGGGAGCCATAAAGATGGGTTCGTCCCACTGCATGGAAGCACACAGTCACTTATAGGGCTGGAATGCATTTGGGTACCTGTAATAGGATGACTAAACTGAAGCCATTCTGAGGGGCTGTCTATAGAAAATAATTCAGAATCCTAAAATTTCCCTTCATCCTGAACCCATCACCAAGCAGTTTTCACTGCAAGTCTTCTGTGAGCCACTGGCAGTTATTTTTAGCCTCCTGAAGCCTTCTGAATGCCTGTTACTTTTTATTAAAATATTTTTGAAAGCCAGTAATGAGGAGACCATGCGTATCTCCCTGGGGAGGAATTCGAAAGGTTGGGACCACCACTGAGAAAGCCCTGTTCCTAGAACCTACCCGCCTTATGACAGGCCATAGAGCAGGGTCTTGGACTCTGATGTTGGGCAGATTCATACAGGTATAGAGGGTCCTTCAGATAAATTAGGCTGCTAAAGCTACTAGCCTGTTGAAATGTTTACTATTCCATTGAGACACTGGCAGCCTGCATTTCCCTGCTGGCTGGAGAGGAACGGAAGCCCCTCCACAACCAGCATGGAAATGAAAGTTCTTTAAAAAGCCAAAAACAAAGAACCCTGCTATCAAGCAGACGTAAAATGAACCATCCCTCCACCATCCTGCTTGGTTTTCACACTGATCAGGGAGGGAGGTGCTTTCCTTCCTCCATGGTTGGCATGGAAACCAAGTGGACTGGGCAGAGGAGGGATGGAGAGATCCATCCTCTACCAGCTCACTCCCTTGCCAGTATGAAATTCCTGTTTGCTTATAGCTACAAGGTGAGTAGTTAGTTACAAGCCTGAATTCTTGCTGCTATTACTCTCTGCCTGAGTCTCTCGCCTCTTGATTGGCATTTTTTGGAGAGGGGCAGTAATTTGGCCCAGCGCCTCCAGCTTAGGACATTCTGCTACAGACAAAATGCATCACAAAGCACAGCTGTACCTGGCAAAAGTGCAGTTGACTCCATCCCCATGACTGAGCAAGGCAAATACCTGGCATAATCATAGTGGGAGTGATTGGTGTACTGTGCAACATTTGATCCTCCATGAAGACAGCTCTAGACATTGGTGTGACTGGTATCTTTTGAAACTGTACAAATTTGAGTGTCGGTACTTGCTGCACATGTGGAGCTGTCTGCACAAGTTGTATCTGCTGAGAGGGTTTGTTCCAACCAAAGTGAACTGAGATAGATGTGATGCACCTGCATTTCAGTTACTTCTTTAAAAATTAGGAATATTTCTTTTGCCTATCATTATCCAACTTCAAACTGCATTTTAGTCTTTGCATATTCTTTCTTCCTTTGCTCTAAGTACACACAATAAAAAGCTTACGGCTTACAAACTTACGATGTCTCCTAGGCCAGAAACCCAACATCGAGGCCCTGCTGCCCATTCAGAGAATGATCTTCCTGAACAAGAAGAGGAAATCCTGGGATCAGATGATGATGAGCAGGAAGATCCCAATGATTACTGCAAAGGTGAGAGGTTTTATTTTACAATTTGAGTATCATAATTTTAGACCAATAATTAAGGTTGTAAACCTGGTTTGGTACATTGTGTGTATCAACCAGTAAGTGATTTTGCTTTGTAGATAGAAAAAGGAAAACATCTATGGGGACTTGATAGACTAATGCTTCTTCTTATAAGACCAGACATCTACCAGACTACATCCTCCTTGTTTGTTTAGCATATCAAAGTTAATACATCAAGACATATGCTAGCTTAAGGTATTTCTCAGTATTTTTATTCATTTAACTTTTTACTACATCACCAGCTTTCCATTTAATATATGCTCCATATTTGCAACTGAAATTAAAGTTAACATCAAAGCTGCATAACAAACATCAGAAATAAAAACTTAACAATAACAAAAAATGGAACTTTAGGAGTCATAAAATTCATCAGGAAACCAGGAAATAAACAAAGCCTAATGGCTCATAAGCATGGCAAGTGAAAAGTAAAAACTATGTAGTTGTCTGGTAGGCCTCTCCAGCAGGTTGATGGGTGAGATTCCAAAGCAACATCATCCTCATAGAAAATGCCAGGGACAACACTGGATTAACCCATCTACCAATGCAGTGGTAGAATTTGGAATAAGTAGGGGGGTGGGAATTGTTCTGGTCAGAGGGAGACTGCATTCCCAAGGGTAGTTACTGTTTGCAATCCATAGATTGCAGGAAGCTCAGTATAGGACCCCCAGTGTGTGCTAGAGAATACTGGGTGAAGCAATTCAGTTTGTACTGGTACCTTTAGATACCTGCCGACACTTAGAGAAAGCTGTTGGTTGCTCTTCAGGTGCTGAGATTGTGCTTCCTCTAATTACCATATAAATCTGTACATTTTGGGTCCACTTGCTATATATAAAGCACTGACATAGTGTCATACAGGAATTGGCAAACAACAGACATTTCCTCCACTTAAATACCATATGTCTACCTTCACATCATGGAATTCTCAATGGTAAAATGTTGCAAACATGACTGTATGTCCCCAATCCTGGCTCTAGTTACCCAAACTGGTATACTTTGCATCCCGCTCAATGGAATAAACTGAATGAAAAACATGCCATGTCTGCACTGACTTCATTTTGTGTGGGTGTACTGTTTGCCCGGCATAGAAATTTAGCAGGTTGGCAGCAAAGGCATGGATCTCTCTGTCTTTCTATTGCCAGCCAGCGTGTTCTATGCTAGACATGCCGGGGGGGGGTGTCACCTGCTGTTCCTGTATATGAAAACATGGTAGACTGGTAGCAAGAGGGAATGAGCAGCCTGATGCGAACCCTCTTGCTTTTAATGCTGAACACAGAGGGGGCTTACCCATTATCACCTAGCTTGGAATGGCAGTGGGCTGTCAGAAGAGGGATGGAGTGTTCAGACTTCTGCCTCGTGTCAGTCTGCCTGGTTTCTTTGCTTGACAGAAGGAGGCAGTTTCCCCACCTCCCTGTCCAGCACAGAAAGGATGCTGGAGAAGGGAATGGGTGCTCAGCCCCTCATCCCCACCCCTGGAACCTCCTCCAAGCCCAGCATAGAAATGCAGCAAGCTACCAGAGAAGGGTTGAAGTAAAAAGTAAAAGCAAAAACGAAAGAAGTGCCATGGTCAGATCACTTCCTGGTGCAACTGGACTTCTCTGCGACCCATCCCCTCTGCAGGGAGGTGGGACCAATTCGGATGGTCCGCCCCCGCCACTTAATGGATCCAAATGGTTTCCAGAGAGTGGTAGGGGATGCTTTATCCCATGTTGATGGCCTTTCAGCTGATTCCCTGGTGGCCCGCTGGAATGTGGAGTTAACCAGGGCTATTGACTGTTTGGCTCCGAAGCGCCCTCTCCGATTGCATGGAGCCCGGACAGCCCCGTGGTTTTCCACGGATCTGAGGGCAATGAAACAATCGTTGAGACGGCTAGAGCGCCGGTGGCGGAGAACTCATTCCGAATCTGACCGGACACAGGTTAGAGCTCAACGTCGAGCCTACCAAGTGGCGATAGCGACGGCGAAGAAGAATTTCTTCACCCCCTCTATTGCATCTGCAGAAAACAGCAGCAGGAGACTTTTTCAGGTGGTTCACAATTTAGCGGAACCACCTGCAACATCGGGGCCCAGTACGGGCCACATGTTCTCCTGCAATGATTTTGCAAAGTTTTTTGCAGATAAAATCGCTCAGATTCGGGAAGAAGTAGACTCCACCGTGGGAGCAGGGCCGGGGCGGGAGAGTGCTAGATTTCTGTCTAGTCAAGTTGAGTGGGATCAATTCCAATCTGTTACCTCCGAGGATGTGGACAGGCTGCTTGGACGAGTGAAACCAACCACCTGTCTCCTGGATCCTTGCCCATCCTGGCTTATAAAAGCTAGCCGGGAAGGACTGGGCAATGGGCTTCGTGGGGTGGTGAATGCTTCCCTCCGTGAGGGAGCCTTCCCAGACCCGCTGAAAGAGGCGGTTATTAAACCGCTTCTTAAAAAACCATCTTTAGATGCGGCCACGATGGCCAACTATCGCCCAGTCTCAAATCTTCCATTCCTGGGCAAGGTGATTGAGCGAGCGGTTGCCGAACAACTCCAGGCACGCCTGGAAGAAGCGGACCATTTGGATCCCTTCCAGTCGGGATTCAGGCCTCATCATGGGACTGAAACTGCCTTGGTCGCACTGGTTGATGATCTCCGGCGGGCTAGGGACAAAGGTGAGAGCTGTTTCCTAGTTCTGCTGGATCTCTCAGCGGCGTTTGATACCATCGACCATAGCATCCTTCTGGACCGTCTTGAGGGGCTGGGAGCTGGAGGCACTGTTATACAGTGGTTCCGCTCCTTCCTCCTGGGCCGTGTTCAGAAAGTGGTGGTGGGGGATGAGTGTTCAGACCCCTGGGCTCTCACTTGTGGGGTGCCTCAGGGTTCTGTCCTCTCCCCCATGCTTTTCAACATTTACATGCAGCCGCTGGGAGAGATCATCAGGAGGTTTGGGCTGGGTGTTCATCAGTATGCGGATGATACCCAGCTCTACCTCTCTTTTAAATCAGAACCAGTGAAGGCGGTGAAGGTCCTGTGTGAGTGTCTGGAGGCGGTTGGAGGATGGATGGCGGCTAACAGATTGAGGTTGAATCCTGACAAGACAGAAGTACTGTTTTTGGGGGACAGGAGGCGGGCAGGTGTGGAATGGGGTAACTGTGCCCCTGAAGGACCAGGTGCGCAGCCTGGGAGTCATTTTGGACTCACAGCTGTCCATGGAGGCACAGGTCAAATCCGTGTCCAGGGCAGCTGTTTACCAGCTCCATCTGGTACGTAGGCTGAGACCCTATCTGCCTGCGGACTGTCTCGCCAGAGTGGTACATGCTCTGGTTATCTCCCGCTTGGACTACTGCAATGCACTCTACATGGGGCTACCTTTGAAGGTGACTCGGAAACTACAACTAATCCAGAATGCGGCAGCTAGACTGGTGACTGGGAGCGGCCGCCAAGACCATATAACACCAGTCTTGAAAGACTTGCATTGGCTCCCAGTACGTTTCCGAGCACAATTCAAAGTGTTGGTGCTGACCTTTAAAGCCCTAAACGGCCTCGGTCCAGTATACCTGAAGGAGCGTCTCCACCCCCATCATTCTGCCCGGACGCTGAGGTCCAGCGCCGAGGGCCTTCTGGCGGTTCCCTCATTGCGAGAAGCAAAGCTACAGGGAACCAGGCAGAGGGCCTTCTCGGTAGTGGCGCCCACCCTGTGGAACGCCCTTCCAGCAGATGTCAAAGTGATAAATAACTACCTGACATTCAAGAGACATCTTAAGGCAGCCCTGTTCAGGGAAGTTTTTAACATGTGATATTTTATTGTATTTTTGGTTTTTATGGAAGCCGCCCAGAGTGGCTGGGGAGGCCCAGCCAGATGGGCGGGGTATAAATAATAAATTATTATTATTATTATTATTATTATTGAAGCACTCCATTGATCCTCCAGCAGCCCAGTCACTCACCTGGATGAAATTCCTTGTTGCCCATGGCAACCAGGCAAGTGTTTAAATACAAGCCTGCTTTGATAGTTCTTGCATTATAGTCCTTGCATTATCTAATCCAATATAGTGACCCAGAAATGTATTTTTAAAATTAATAACAAACTCCCCATGCTGAACAAACCAGGCTTCAAGGAAATACGTTCACCAAGCCATTTCTTAAAAGGTAGGATGTTGCCTGTTTCCCCTTTGTGTATACCTGAGAGTAAGCATCTTTTAATTTAATGGGATCTTTTTGTAGCAATGTATGAGATGGCATTGTTAGCTTTCCTTCTTGTTAAAAAGCAGGTTCACACAATTGCAAACAACGCTTGATGCTGTTGTGAAGTATGTGTGTAGGTGTAACAAGTACAGCTTGGGGGCCTAAATGGAGGTGCTGCCCTCATGGATCACAGTGATGTACTGTAGCTGCCTGGTGTGAATGTCAGAAAATGAATTGTTTTTGTGTGAAGTAGCTCCTGTTTGAGGTGGGCTGATTTGGGTTGGCTGATAATGCCGTTTAGGTGGTTAGGATGATGTGTGAACCTCTTCAGATATGCAACTTCCCACATGGTTGGACCCTTTGCAGTGGTGGCAACCATAGCACAAAGGTAATGTGAGAAGGGGGCAAGAATGCATTGGCAGAATGGTGTACGGGAGCTCTTTAATAGGAGCTCACATAGGTCATAATTTTTCTTAATCCAGCATCGCCAAGGTCGAGGGACAAGTCTCTAAGTCAGTAATTGAACAAAAAACACCTTCATACATCAACTGGCAACCGATCCCACCATGCCCGTCTTCTCTCTAGATTGTTTTTTGATAAATATTGAGTAAGCTCTTTGAAGAAAGGCAGGGCTTGAATGTATGCATCTCCATTGGCTTCTATTAATAAACTAGTGGTCAGTTATGTATCTGGAGGCAATTTTAACATGAACAAGGGCAGGCAAACTGAAATTTAATTCAGACAAAATGGAGATACTGTGGGTGGGAAGTTGGTCTTCTCCAGAAAGAAGGTTCAATTGGCTCTGGATGTGGGGTTGCACTTTGCCTGCAAGTCCAAGGACGCGACCTGGGAATCCTCCTGAATTCAGTAGGTGACATCCAATTGAGAAAATACTTTTTTAAAAAATTTAAGATGGCTAACAAATGCGTTAAACAAAACATACACATCTGTAGTAGCACATAGAATTGACATGTTCTCAGTATGACCGTAATACTGAGTAGATTGCCCATCAGATCATTCTCTTATCTCATGACTAAGGCTCCTCATCATGGAAACCTTAGAGACACGCTAGGTTCTCATTCTTTTAAGGATGTTGCTATGCTTTAGCTGAGTCATTCTGTTCTGTTATGAGCCCAGCATCTTATGAAGAGATTTGAAGAGTAGCCACCAGGTCTTCTTAATATTGTGACTAGACCTTACAAATCAACATCCCCTTTCAGCTGCAGTTGCAGCCAAGTGGTGTGTCGTCATGTGCTTCACCAAATAAAGAAAATCCCAGGGTAGCATTCCTGTTCTTATGTTTCCTGCTTGGCAGGGGGTTGGACTCGATGGCCCTTGTGGTCTCTTCCAACTCTATGATTCTATTCTATGATTCTATGAGGGAAGGAAAAGCGTTATTAAATCCAAATGTTCTTGCTACTGCTAGGAGAGAGCAGTTAGCAATGCATTATATCCCTCCCAATCCCAGAACTCATAGCTAATGTGACATTTGAAGTTTCTTAAACAGTAGTGTTTTTAAAAGATACTTTTTCTTACTGTGGAATATATTTAGTGAGAAAATCGAGAGATTTGAGAGTTCCCAGTGGGATTGTACCACCTGCACATAGCCATGCTGGTCTGCTTATCCTTCCCATGTAGAGGAATAGCACACTCTACAGCTATTTTCTCTGCAGAAGCTCTGCAGAAGCTGAGAAAGGAAAACACACCATCTATTCTATATTGTGCCTGATATTATTCTTTGGTAAGCTGTCAGGATTTATTTGCATGATAACTAAAATGAAGACATTGCATGGCTCTACAAACAATTCTGTGTTCTCAATGTACTTTTTTTCATTTGTTTTTAAGAGAGATTAAAAGTGGCGGGTGCATAGATTGACTTGTGAGTTTCTCAATATCACTGAGGGTTCTTGACCCAATAACTCTTTTTACATTTCCTAGGAGGCTACCATCTTGTTAAAATAGGGGATCTATTCAATGGAAGATACCATGTGATCCGGAAGCTGGGATGGGGACACTTTTCTACAGTGTGGTTATCATGGGACATCCAGTAAGTCTTATTTCGTTTTGGAAGGAATTTCTGCTAGTTGCATAGAATATTCTTAAAGACCAGCAACATGAGATTTTTCCTCAGAATGTTCCTCCTTGTTTTCAGATCCAGAGGTTTCATCTCATGCTTTAAAAAAATAATTATAATAACATGGTAACAGTTCTATGTACAAACTGAAAACTGATTCATATTCCCACTTGCATATTATTTCTTCAAGTTTACTTTTTATGGAACTCGGGGGAAATTATGCATTCAGGAGTGACAGAGAACCTGCTTTTGTATTTTGTAGGAAATGATCCTGATCATTCAGGTCTGTTAGGTCTGTTAGTGTTATCTGACTCCTGAAGGCAGTTTAGTACTAAACTTTGTGTCCACTTAGGGGGAAGAGGTTTGTGGCAATGAAAGTTGTAAAGAGTGCTGAACACTACACAGAAACAGCATTGGATGAAATCAAACTGCTGAAATCTGTGAGTATCCACAAGTAGATGATTATGATTCAATTTCAAATTATATCCTTAAAAAATATCAGCAAATGGCTCCCAGCCATAATATAATCTCTTGCTCCATACTAGATACAAAGGGGAATGCTGTACACAGGATTAGATTAGGCATTTGTTGTTATTTTTCTTTAATTTGTAAAGGTCAATTTTTATCTCTGTTTCCAGAGCATTTTAAAATATGACAGAAGATTATTTATTAAATTGATTAGTCGTTTTATCTTGCCCAAGGCAGCCCAAAGCAACTTACAACCAACCAACCAACCAAACAAACAGACAAAAAAAAAAAAATCCACAAGAGATATATTAAAACCAAGGGGGTGGAATACATTTAAAACATCCCACACACTTCTAAAAGGCCACAGATAATTAAAGGTCAAAGTCTTGGTTAGAGATGAAAATTTCTGCCTGCTGCTTAAAGATATGGCTATTGTAATTATTGCAAGTGGGTAATTCATCTCAAGTTTGGTTTGCTATTTGTGCCATTAGTTGTAGGTATCATGTCATCCCATTACCTTAGCTGGTAATCTTCCTTTCATGTATCCAGCAGTACATTTTCAGTCATTTTTATGGAGGGAGGGAAAGGTAAATGCAGGCTCATGAGAAGTAACAGCATTAGTACAGCTACTTAGACAGTGTTGTTTAGGAATTGATGAAGGGTTTTTCCGCCCCGGCTGGGGCATAAGGCAAGGTTAGTATGGACATTGTTGCACAAGAATAGTCAGAAATGCTAACATAAATTGAATGTTTGATTCGCTAAATAAGAATGTGGGGTGAGAATCTGGAGAGTGTCTTGGAAACCTATGGGACTTGATAAAGATAGAACCTGCATTAAATGATTTTTTTATGGTGTTTGATTTCCCCCCACCCTACAGGTCCGCAACACTGACCCAGACGACCCAAACAGAGAGAGAGTAGTTCAGTTATTAGATGACTTCAAAATCTCAGGAGTAAATGGTTCCCGTATCCTTTTAATAAAACCAGACTTTTCTGCGATCTTTAATACAGCAAAATGTGGGATTTAATAAAATACAGTACTGGGTTAAAACATAAATGGTTGTCTTACACATTGATGAAATTTCACAACGTGTAGCCGTTTGGCACAAGTATGTTTTCAGTTTCCTTCAGCGATATAAAGAAAACAACCTACAAAAAGGTTTCCTTTCTAATTCTGAGTGGCAATTCTGAGAGCCTTTTTGAATGTTGGAAGTTGAGAAGACAATCTGAAAAAAGTGAGAGTATTGTTTGGGTTTTCCCACTGATGTGGCTTTAGCTTCATCTGCACCACCTTACGATATTTCTGTATCCCTGTGTGTGTGGAATTCACCAGTGAAAATTCATAAGACTATTAATAATTAGAATACTTTCTGGTGCAATACCAGTACAGTGGTACCTCGGGTTAAGAACTTAATTCATTCTGGAAGTCCATTCTTAACCTGAAACTGTGCTTAACCTGAAGCTACGCTTTAGCTAATGGGGCCTCCCACTGCCGCCTCACAATTTCTGTTCTCATCCTGAAGCAAAGTTCTTAACCCGAGGTACTATTTCTGGGTTAGCAGAGTCTGTAACCTGAAGCATCTGTAACCCGAGGTACCACTGTAATGGGGTGGATGCTGCGGCCTTGCACATCTGGCTTCCCAATGTCATATATTGCTGCTGGTTACCATGAGGGGGGGCGGGGCGGGGAGCACAGTGGATGTGCAGTGGGAGGGGGGGAGCATTGGGCTGACTCAACCACTGCACCCACACTAAGCGCCCCATTGCCTTACCTCTCCCTCTTGGTAACTGGCAGCAGTGCACAGCATGGGGAAGCCACACAAGGAATGCCACACCACTGGCAGGGGCTGTGTAAAATTGCCACAAAGTGTAGCTATTCTAGAAAACTACATGCAGATAGTCAGGGGGAAATGGGTATATACGCAATAACTAAGCATGAAATTTCTTTTTCCGTGTTGCTATGTATTCAGCAATAGCTGACTTTGTAAATGTTCTAGGAAATTCAGCCTTGACTCAGCTACAGATATTTGCATGGTGTTTGAAGTTCTGGGGCACCATCTTCTGAAATGGATCATCAAATCAAATTATCAGGGTCTTCCACTACTCTGTGTAAAAAGGATCATCCACCAGGCATGTTATATATACTACATTTGGGACTAATTTGTTGTTTTCTGTCAAGCGTTTGGTGCTCCAAAGTGCAGCTGGAGACTCTCTGTGATGTCAGTTGCTGCACTTTTGGCTGCTGGAACAGATCAAAATTGTAACAATGACTTCTCATTGGTGGATATCCTGTGCATCACATGCTCTAGGATCCCAAGATCAGGTCCTTCACACAGTATTTAAGAATTAACAAGAAACTGCTGTGAATCAGTAGCCCAGTTCAAGAGTTTTCTCATGCTTTCTGTCTAATAGCAGAATAAGATTCTATCTAATAGCAGAATCAGTGATCCTGTTCTGATTGACTTGGCAGCAAAACAGGGTAGGTTGTTGCATATCACTGGAAACCACAAGGCACTCTTCTAAAAAGGCAGCACAGTTCCCAAAAGTGGAAGCAAAGGACTGTGTATGTGTGCTTTACTGCTCCAGGAGCATTTTTGTTTGCTCCAGTTGGGCTTATATAAAGTGTGTGTGTGTGTGTGTTTTGAGGGGGAGGGAATCATTTGGGTGGGTTAACTTAGGGAAGGAGACACAGCTAGAGTGAAACAAAGGGAAGATGTGGGCACTCTTGCTACTAACTGAGGCAGGTGGGTGCCATCCCCCAACTGCCTTACACACACAGGAACAAAATACTGGATGGTGATGATGGATCCTTTGTTTGCTCACTTCTCTCTGCCCCACACTTTGGCTGTGGGAAGAGGTGAAGAGGAGATGGAGTGACAGCACCTAACTAGAGTAATAGGTGGGGTGTTGCTCAGTTGCCCTGTCCACTTGCCCTGGTCCCTAATGGGTGCAACTAAAGGAGGTGGAACCAAAGAGGCACACTGACCTGCTGCTTCTTCATTCTGTGAGTACGGAACAGCCCCTCGAATCAGGTGATATGCAAAAGGAGTTGGCAAAGTGCTGTGAAATGGACATCCCAATATGTCACAGTGGTGCCTCCACTCAAGGGCCTGACCTGATCATAGGTATCCTTATTTGAAAATAAGCCCTAATGGGACTTATTCCCATGTAAGGTTGACTGGGTGTGTTGTTCAGGCTGCAAAATGTATCTTCCCTTCATATTATCACACACTTGTACGTTAACATATAATACTGGAGGCATCATCGCATTGAATAACACACACACACACGTGTTGTGCAACGCTTTGTTGCAAGTCCCATTTGTAATTGATGCTTCAAGAACAGAAATGAAAGCTGGGAAGGATGGCGAAGCCTAGAGTAGAAGAATAGTGCTAAAATGAATGGGAATTACGCCTTCAGCAACAGTAGGTTGAAGATCAAGTAAAGAACGCTCATTTTGCTATAGTTTCCATAGTAACCTGGCTTTTTCACTGCTTGCTTCATAATAAAATCAAGCTTTTGGTCACATTGTGCACCACAACTACCAGATCCTGGCTCTTCAGTATACTTTGGAAGTTACACAATGACATTTTGTCACCTGTATGTGACTTTCCTTTGTTGTTTGTTCTCTGCAGGTTTTGCAGGGACTGGACTATTTGCACGCCAAGTGTCGGATTATCCACACTGATATTAAACCAGAGAACATTCTGCTGTGTGTTAATGACCAGTATATCCGCAGGCTGGCTGCAGAAGCAACAGAGTGGCAGAGATCTGGAGCCCCCCCTCCTTCTGGCTCTGCAGGTGCTTTTTGTGTTTTAGCTTAAAGTCTGTTCATTCTGAAGTGGTTTGTTAGGATATGACAAATATTAGCTGTCTAGATCACCCTGAACATGATTAATATGGAACATCATTTCAGTTTGTCTATAAAATAGATATTCATTGCAGTACTAGCTGTATGGTTATGTATAGAGCTCATGAAAAGTGTGGAAATTGCCACGCTGGAGAATTATTTAAAATGCTGTTTCTGATCTCATGTAATTAAATTGATGATAGGCCAACTTCTGTTGCGTTGTGTATAAAAGAGTTTATAGAAATTCAATTTAGAAGACCTCTGCAGTGAGGTCATCTTGGTTATGCCTTGCTCAGTCTTGTATTCTCCAGAGAGTTTAAAAATTCTTTCCATCATACATTCCGTATATATTATGTATAAGTAGACTCTCCGTTAAGTGGCTTTACTATTATAGGTGTTCAATCTTTTAAGACAAATCTGATACAGAAATTGAATCCTCCCTGGTGCTGCCAAAGAGCTGTGCAACGGTATCTCAGGATTACTTTTGAAGAGCATTGACTAATGGTAAAAGCGGGGAGGGTGTTCCTAATTTGGTCTCCACCAAATCTGTGGTGTTTTATTGAGACTACATAAACTCCATCCTTTTCAGTCACCAGCCAAGGTGGGACACTGTACCTCAAGCTTTCATAAGAGTATGGTTACAGAGCAGTAGCCATGACAACTGTTTAATGTCTGGCTGTATCTGTATTCTTCAAGACCAGTCAGTTTTCAAAACAGAGGTCCAGGGGTCACAACCCTGTCCTTCTCCAGTGGTCAGGCTCTTTCTTGTCTATTAAACATTTTTACCCCTTGATTAAACATAGGTCTGCCAGGGGCCAATGAAAATTATTTTTGTGGACTGTCAGACCTGTGGACCTGTAACTTACTATTTCAAGTACAGTCGTACCTTGGAAGTCGAACGGAATCCATTCCGGAAGTCTGTTTGACTTCCAAAACGTTCGAAAACCAAAGTGTAGCTTCTGAATGGCTGCAGGAAGCCAATGTCTTTCGGACATTCGGCTTCCAAAAGAATATTAGAAAACCAGAACAGTCACTTCCAGGTTTTGATCATTCAGGAGCCAAAATGTTTGAGAACTAGGCTGACTTCCAAGGTACGACTGTGGTTAATTGGAAATTGATGGAACTTGAAGTGGACTTAATGAACTCTTGACTTACCTATGTGTCATCTCAGTTCACTTTTTAAAATACTGTGTACGTGCTGCTGTGTTGCCTCACTTGCATGTAATTATTCCCCTCACTTTGAAAAGGGTTGGGTGGCCTGACAATTGATAACATAATTGTTGTTATGTATAATAATCTGACATCGAGTTCTCTCTGCTTCCATAAGAAGGTAACAATTTAGCGTTTAGAACAGCTTCTCAGTGTTGCAGGAGTGATTTAAGTACCGTATTTTGCGCCCCATAGGACGCTCCGGCCTATAGGACGCACCTAGTTTTTTGGGGGGAAATAAAGAGAAAAAAATTTATTTCCCCCCCAGGTGCGGGGCTGGAAGAACCAGGGAACAGCGGGAAGGCACGCTCTGCCTCCCCGCTGTCCCCCGAGCTTGTGGGGCTGGCGATGGGGAGAAGTGCGCTGATCCCGGGACTGCAGGCAGCTCTGCGCAGCCATCGGGAGCGGGGCGGGACTTTGCGCCCGGCTCCCAGTGGCCACGCAGAGCTGCGCTGATCCCGGGACTGCAGGCAGCTCTGCGCAACCCTCGGAGCCGGTCTCCCGAGGGTTGCACAGATCTTCCTGAAGCCTGGAGAGCGAGAGGGGTCGGTGCGCACAGACCCCTCTCGCTCTCCAGGCTTCAGCGAAAGCCTGCATTCGCCCCATAGGACGCACACACATTTTCCCTTCATTTTTGGAGGGGAAAAAGTGCGTCCTATAGGGCGAAAAATACGGTAGATGCCTGTCTTCCAATGCTGCTCAGTGTTGGAGTTTAATCTGTTGATGACTTGATGAGAACATTTTCCTTTTTTTTCTATACTGCAGTCATGTTTCAGAAGTAGTTTTCTGTTAACTATAGAAGAGTTTGAATAGTATGCCAATTTAATAGCATGATTGCAGGCTTATTAATTGTATTTCTTTTTTATTTCACAGTGAGTACTGCACCACAGCCCAAACCAGTAAGTGTGATAACTTGTGCATGTTATAAATGAGTTAAACTTTGCATTCAGATGTACGCTGTCTTTTTATAGAGCAGTTCCAGTGCTGTGGGAAGGCTCCTACCAAACAGCACAATTGTGTCTGGACATATTTAGATTTCTATTTCCCACCATTCCAGGGGCTCAGATTTTAGCATGCTGCCGTATACACTTCATTTCTTTCAGTTCTCTTAATAGTTACCCTTTCGTTGCCTTAGTTGTACTGTCAATAGTTTGGCTATTTTTCTAGCTACTGCAATTGTAGGAATTTCTGATGACCAAATCTATTATTTTTCTGTTCGTATCTTAGATTTATTCATATGAACACGTACTTGGGGGTAGTCGGAAGTGCTCACTTGAATGAAATAAATATGATGTGAACTGGTCTGTAGTGCACAAAGGTTCCTTGTTTAATATCTGAAATATCTAGAACAGGCATAGGCAAACTCGGCTCTCCAGATGTTTTGAGACTAAAATTCCCATCATCCCTGACCACTTGTCTTGTTAGCTAGGGATGATGGGAGTTGTAGTCCGAAAACATCTGGAGGGACGAGTTTGCCTATGCCTGATCTAGAATGTGATCAGTTATAATCAATGAGTACTAGCAATTTACACAAGGAAGAATAATTATGGAGAATTTTTCTGCTATGTAAATGGTATCAACATCAAAGAGCGCTCACCACAGAGAGGCTGTTTGACATCTTCTAATTTGCACTTAGACTGCAATCCTATACCCACTTATATGGGAGTGCCATTGAACTCAGTAGGAATTCTGAGTAAGTTTAGGAGTGCATCATTAACAAACACGTACTAGAATTATGAGAATAGGATTGAAATACTGGATTTATGGTGGCAATCCTTTACTTGCAAACCTGGAAATAAGCCAAATTGAACTCATATAAACATGTTTAGGATTGCAGTGTAAATGTTAATGATATCTGGATGTTCTTTATGATCAGAGGGATGGTGTTATTTCCTTCTGTTTTCCCTTATTTAACTACGTTTTCTGTATAAAAAGCAGTAGGCAATAGATGCCTGAGGGTTGGTGTATTTGCAATTACCCTGCAGGCTGACAAAATGTCGAAAAATAAGAAAAAGAAATTGAAAAAGAAACAGAAACGACAAGCGGAGCTGCTGGAGAAGCGAATTCAGGAAATTGAGGAGATGGAGAAGGAAGCCATCCCACTGCAAGCAGAGCCTGAGGAGCAGCAGGAGGAGCAGCAAGAAATTCCACAGCCACTTGAGCTGCTCTTAAAAGAGAACCCTCCAGATGAAGAGCTGCCAGAAAAGACAGGTATGGATTTCTAGAAAATATGTGCTTTGGGTGTACTTGGTAATAATGCATCCTTTGAAAGGGAGGAGGTTTTAAAATAATCATTAATAGACATTAAACATAACACAAGTAATGATAAAAACTCTACAGGAAAAGAAAATATTAACAGATCATTATTGTTACCATAGGAATTAGCATTTCCCCAGCATATGTAATGGACATCTTAAGCCACTGTTTATAAGTGGTTAGAACAGCTGCAGTATCGGATACTGTTTGCACTTCATACCTAATCACTAGTCATTTAAAACCCGTTTAGTTATAACTCCATTATAACTCCAGTTTTTCTGTTTTATCTAGATGACATTTCCCTTGTATCAGAGCAAGCTGTCTTAATGGAAGGAGTTGAAAAATGCATAACAGAGATCAACTGTAATGGAGTGATGCAAATGGCTACCTTCTCAGAGTCCATCAACCAAGTGTCAGTGAGACTCGAGGAAGACCTTCACAATGCCAATGATTGCAGCAGGCCCTCTCAGGAGCAGGAGGAGGAAGAAGAGGAGGAGAGCTGTGCTTACAACCAAAGTAATGGTGGCCCAGAGGCCAGCATACAGGAAGCATTATCAGACTCCTGCGAGCCCTTAATTTCGGAGGTTGCAGATTCAATGATATGCCAAGCAACTTCAAGTGACGGACAGTATTTTAGTGAACAGCAGATCAGCCATTTGCAAGAGAGCATCAGGGCAGAAATCCCTTCAGAGGATGAGAATGAGAATAATGAGTCATCTGAGAACAGCCAAGGTACAGGACGTGGGTTCTGTATAAGCAATCAATTGTGCAATTTTGACGCAAACCGTGTTCTGGAATATGCCACAATCATGTTGATATATTATCAACATTTCCTAAGCTTTCAAAGCATTTCTCACACGTGACCATGATAATCTTACAGTAGCATTCCTTGTAAGGCACGCTAGTATTGTTTTTTCCCCATATGAAGGGAGAGGCAGGGAGAAGCCAGATAATGGCTTGTTTAAAGTCATCCAGCAAAGTCTGAGGTGAGATTAGACAGGGCATGAGTTGGCTTTAGTTTATTCTCTGTCCTTTATTGTGCTTCATTGTGAAGTGAAAACTTCCCTATTAGAGCTGGCCCTGGTTCTAAGAAAAGAGAACTGTCAAGGTTCTTCCTTTCTCCATAACACACGGCTTGAAGATTCTAAAAGTTCAATAGTTAAAGTCAACCACAATTTGCCAGGTTTGGAAGAAGTGACAAGCTGTGATTGATCACAAACAGAAGCAAGAGCTTCTGGTCTTCCACTTAAAGTAGCACTGAAGGAGGAGGGGGGAGCACATGAGCTCAAGGCTTCTGTATTTCCTGTCACATTAAGCCACGGTTTATAGTGACATCCAAACCAACTCATGGATGTGAAATTAATACTTGACTCCAAACAAGGAGTGACTAGTACTCTAATAAACAATGATGCTTTTAGAATTTGTGTGGCAGATGGTGGGCCTGTCCATGTGGAGTTAACTGGCTGTTGTTTGTGCTGTGCCTAGGAAAATCGGCTGCTGGAAATTTCCTCCTTAATCCTCTTGAGCCTGGGAATGCAGATAAGCTCAAAGTGAAGATAGCTGACCTAGGAAATGCTTGCTGGGTGGTAAGTTTTAAAGCTCTTTCCATACTGTTACAGAAACTGCTGTCTCTTTGCAGTTAGCTCAGGTGAATGTAGCAAACATACCTCTGATTTCCCCCCATTAATACTGTTTATTAAAAATTGGTTTCTTACACACAGACACCCATACAGACCCCCCACATTCCCACCAAATAAGCAGGAAACCAAACAGTAGTGGTACTGTTAGTAGTGGTATTGAAAAATACGCTGACTACAATGAGAAGTGAGATCTAGCTTCTTACAGGCGGCACATCTTCAATGTAACATTGAGAGTTCATGTGACACGGTTGGATCAGTTCATTGCAGCAAGTTAGTTGGTGACCAGGGGGTCAATGTATGCAAGCAGTATTCTAAACTAATCTGTCCACTTCATTCAAGCCTGTACATAGCCTGATTATGTAAGTTGGCTTTTCTAATAATGGAAGGTTCCAGACTTGGTTCCACCGTTCCTCCAAAGTGAAGGGGGAGCTCTGGTTCCGATGCTGAGCAACCTTCAGCTTCACAGCCAGCAAAAGAAATAAACTCCTGATACAGAAGTTCACACATCTCCTCTGGAAAGATAGAGAGCAAGGCCTGCTGTGGCAAGGAAGGTGCAATTTGTGATACGTTAGCAGAGATTTCCTGTAATACCTGAGACCAAAAGGTCTGTATCACTGTGTATGAGCACCACTTGTGGTAGTACATGTCGCACGATCAACAGGCATCCAGCATTCCATAGGGAGTGATCCAGTAATCCTCTGTTTGGTAGCAGTACAGATTCATCTCAATACATGTTTGAGACTGGACTCAAGGATAGATAGAGTCAGGGTTTTTTTGGCACATTTGATTTCCAAGGTGCATCTTCAAATTGAGTACCCAAGTTTGTCTCAGCCCCATATTAGAGCCACAAAAGTGACCGCAAGCCTTTGTAGCATCCTAATTAGCACTGGGGTAGGCAGAAGGGAAGGTGAGGGTGAGGGAGGGCAGACCAAGTAAAGGAATGAGCACCAGATAATTGAGAGCTATATTACATCTTTCAGGTCTTCCTCTAATAGCAACACTAGGGGCTCTGTTGACATCAGCTAGTGCCTATACATGCCTTTGAATTCACTGGGATTCATTTCTGAGATGTATTCATTCCCTACTACATGTCTACTTGGTCTCTGGAATCTCCTTTGATCTCTCATCTTAAACCCACAGCATAAACATTTCACTGAGGACATTCAGACACGGCAATACCGATCCTTGGAAGTACTGATTGGAGCCGGTTATAGCACCCCAGCTGATATTTGGAGTACAGCTTGCATGGTAAGTTCAATCACATTGTCTTAAATCTTTGAAGTGGTGTCCATTGCAGAATTCTGCAGGAATTAAATGACTGTTAAATTGCAATAAGCTGATAGTACTTTTGAATCTGTTTTAAAGTTTTGTCTGCTGTTTTCTTGGTTTTGTTGTGTGTGTGTTTTACATTTGTTATATCCGTACTGCCCTGAAATGAAATGAAGCATGCTATTAGAAATTAAATGAAGCTTTTCATTTAATAGAAGCAAGCTTTTTACTTATATAAAAAAAAAATATTACTACATTGCCAATGTTCGATAAGGCCTGCTTGTTTCAGACTTCATGGACAAAGTAATTTACAGGTCTACAGCCTAACCAGTTATATGTCTGTGTTCAGTATCAGCAGTTTGGTGAGCAAGGCACTCTGGGATGTGGACCTTGTTTTGAATCAAAATTGCTTGACTAAAAGAACCCTGAAGTATTCATGATACTTGTCAGATGGCAAGGGTGGCTGCTCACGAGTAACCAGGCAGCATTGTGGCTTTTATACCAAATGACTGTATCCCCCCCGCAAGACCCTGAAAGTTGTCTGACATTTCCTTGTTTAGGCCTTCGAACTGGCTACGGGTGACTATCTGTTTGAGCCTCACTCTGGAGAAGATTACTCAAGGGATGAAGGTGAGTACCTTCTACTTCTAGTACTTTAAATTATTTCTGCACATAGTTCCTACGCAAGGGGGTTTGGAAGTTCTAGCTCTACAAAGCAAGACCTCAAAAAGAGATCTAGCCTCTTTATTCTGTTGAGAGCTTTTAATACTGGTCTGCTGGAGTCTACTGGTACATTATGCAGCTCATTTTCAATATCAGATTTTAAAACAGATTGTTTTAAGTTCCAGCGTGTTACTGTTAGTCATTTATTAAATAATCAATGGTTTGTTTTTAACAGCATTAAGTTCCTTGAAATATTTTAAATAGAAAGGTAACACATAAAAAGGACTATTCCCAATGTAGAGATTTATGTCTGCCAGAATAGACTGACCCAGAGCAATAGAAAACGGGGGGGGGGGGGGGAGAGAGAGAACAGGACAAACACTCAAATCCAGAAGGAAAGAAGGTGGAAAGAGCACACTAACTGGATGAAAGCCATTGTGTGTTAATACTATTGCATATTATTTCTTTCATGCCCTCTCCTGGGGAATACAGACCATATTGCATTAATCATAGAACTTCTGGGGAAAATACCTCGCAAGCTCATTGTGGCTGGAAAATACTCCAAGGAGTTCTTCACCAAAAAAGGTAAGGGGAAAATCTGAGGTTGAATGGCTGAGGGTTCCAGACCTGGGGTAGTTGGAATATCTAGTTTTTGTTCTTTTGCTTGTTTGTTTTCTTTTATAATAACAAAGCGCCCATTTACTTTGCTGATGTATATGAGCAATGGCAGAGAGGGTTACTCATTTGCTTATAATTATTTCTACTTTTCATTCATTGGAAACAAAGTCAGACTTCTTTAACCATTGGGGCCCCTTGGGCTGCTGGTCAGGAAGCTTCAGCCCACAGGCTGTATTAGGCCCACTGAGGTCCCATTTTGGCCCACAATGCCATTTGTCCTGCCCAAGTCCTGCCCACCTGACATTATATGACAGCAGGTGTAGAGCAGGATTGGGATTTAGGCTTTTTGGAAAGTGAGGAAGACAGAGAACATGGAATACCAGACTTCTAAAAAAATAATAATCTCAGAGTCCGGACACTTCCTTAAAGTGTAGTCCATATTTGGCACAACGCTGCCTAGCTATCACTACTTCATACAGTCCATAATTTACAACTTGCCTTGCGCTGGGTGTTAAATTTGAAAGAGAAAAAAGACTCCTTTTTCTATTGAGCAATAGCATTTAGAAGGGAGCATTAGAATCCTGATACCTGTTCTGTTGGCCTTCCTGTTCATGTTAATGTGAGCCTTGTTAATCTTCCTGTCATTGTCCTCAGGTGATCTGAAGCACATCACCAAACTGAAGCCATGGGGCCTTTTTGAAGTTTTGGTGGAGAAATACGAGTGGTCCCAAGACGAGGCAGCTGCATTCACAGACTTCTTATTACCTATGCTGGAACTGAATCCTGAGAAGAGAGCTACAGCAGCACAGTGTCTCAGGCACCCCTGGCTCAACTCCTAGATGTATTGGCCCTATAACCGGGTTTACAGCATAATATATACACACCTAGATGTCCCAGCTGCCCCTTCCCTCTCCTCCCAGGTCAATTTTTTCCTTGTTGATTTTCAGAGTGAAGCTTCTCCTTGAGGGCTTTTGAGATTTTAGATAAATCTAACCGTTCATGTGAGTTTGTGTACTCGACTCAGTAGGGACTATTGTCAGCCAGTGGGCGTCCAATATGTTTTGCCGTGATTGGAGTTTGCCAAAGAGTTTTTACAGGAATGTGAAAATGACCCCTGACTCTCTTCCTTACTCAAGTACCTAACCCTGAAGGTGTGGGGAAATCTCCATTGGGACACACTCCCTTAACTATATTGCCGTCATCCCAAGGGGGATGTGAAGAGCTGTGAATCCCTCCTTAGCTCACTGACTCTGGGAGTCATTTTCTTAGTGCACATCCAGTTGCTGACAGTAAGAGAAGAAATGGCAGATGGCACCAAGGTGGTAGCTCCATGTGGAGCACTGAACTCGACTCGACTCATTCCTAAGGTGTCTGCTCTGCTGCTTGGGTAACTTTCTTTTTTGCTCATTATTCTTTTTCTCTAGTTTTAGCCATTTAATCCTTTGAAACGACCTCTTATGAACTGTACCTCTCTTTTTTTAGCACCATTTTTTTGACCCCTCCATGTTCACTTGAGTTTCTGAGTCCCTTGAAATGAGCTGCTCTCCAAAGCCGTAGCATGTGAACCCCTAGTAAGTTTCACATGGAAAATAAAGGCAGCCGGCATTGGTAGAGGTCACTGTCTCTTTACAAGTATGGCTCTGTGCATTTGTTGGCTGCAGAGGGGCAGCCAGGTTGCCCAGGTTCAGTGCCAGACTTGCCCAACATGCAGCCCCAGGCAATACGGGGCTTGCCAACAGTGTACAGTGGCCCAAAAGGCATTTGACGATGGCATGGTTTATGCTACAAAAGCCAGGAGGTGATCCAGCCTGTGGCAGACCACTTTTTCCATAGGTCTCCCTTATGCCCCCAGGGGCCTTGTTGGCCTTGTGTGAAATTGTCTTTTTAGGAGAGAGCAGTTACATTTTCAGTCTGGAAAAATAGGATATGTTCTTCCTATTCAACAATAAGGAAAGATAATATTGGGGGCTGCCTTTCCAGCTGTGCCCAGACTATCAATCACCCTATTTCCAAAGGTTAATGAATGTAATGATATATATACCCTGTTAACTGTCCAAGGTGCTGGACTCTAGAAATCCCCTTTCAAATAGAATTTCTTCCTATGTATTAACAGCAGAACAAATAATCTAGGGGAACAGAGTAGTTTGAATCTTCCCCACCCACCCCTAGAGATGAAGTGTCAAATTCTGTTCTCCAGAATCATTACAGCCATTGTTGCTCAGCAGAGAATATACAACGCAAGCTTGTAAAACTCCTAGGAAATGGGGTTAGTTGTGACTGACTCTTGTAGGCTTTTTATTTTATTAGAAAGATATGTAACTCTTGCTAGTTTTACAATGAGTATCTCCTAGGTTTTCCCAGGTTTGTTTGTGGTTGTTTTTTTTTAATCCCCAGCATCTCGCTCAAATGTAAGGTTTGGAGACTTCCCATGGACCAAATAGGCCTTTGAGATTGCAAAATTCTCCCAGGCTGGAAACTGCTGGAGGACTCAGAATTGAAGGCACTCTGAGGGACAATTCAATGCAAAAGCTACCAGCAGGAAAACACTCTTCTCGGTTGTTTTCTCTTGGCAGAAATCCCAGTTTATAGTCATCTTAAACCCTCGTTATCCTTTGCAAAAAAAAATCTGGTGCAGTTTTATTTTACTTTATCTTAAATGGAAGTTTAACCATCATACCTCCTTCACTTTCAAATTTGGCTGCACTGTCATATTATACCTGACTGAGGCTTTTGCAAAATCTGTGCTGCATGTCCATTTAGGAGATCTTAAGCAATGTTCTCTTTGTACAATCTTAAGATGAAAAGGAAAAGGTTCCAATAGTTTTAAATGATACTCCGGTTATCTAAAGTATCTTCTTCACCTCCAAGAAGCACTTCTTTGCTTGACTGTAAGGATCAAAATAGAATGTATAAATACATACTTTCTTTTTGAATACTGTGAAAACTTGCTGGCAGGGAGAATTGAATTTCCGGTGTCAATGCAACCTAGTTTGCATCAACATCTTGCCTACCTGAATGGAACAAAATGCTCCTGGGTGTGGGGGGCTGCATCTCTTGGGTTTTGATATATGTTCCCCCCCACCGAAGAAGGCTGCTGCCACCTCTTTTGCACTAAGAGAGAAGTTCTAGGATAATACAAGAGGTAGCTTGTCAGGATCGCCTACATATTTGGGGGCTCACATTGGATTCACTCAACTTCCAAATTGCCATAAAGTGCTCACTAACAGATTTGTACTTGTTTTGTCGTTCTAAAACCTGAAGGAAAAAATACATTTTTATTCTTTCTATTGGGTGCATTGTCTTTTTTTCTTTGTAAATGCAGCAGCACAATAAACAGGTTATTAAATAATCCACAGGTACTTTTGATATGCTGTCTATATTCATCCACAGGTTTCGTACAGTAGAGCCTCTTATCTGAACAGGCTGTGAGACAGTGAGAAGCTTAAATTAAATCCAAGCACTGCTGTGTTATGGGGATATAGTGATCTAGTTGCATGGCTGCAGGGCAGGAAAAGGAAACAAAGAATATTGGTGGCTGATGAGTTCAGGAAATGGTGGTCTGCTTTTAGACTGCTGGAGAAAAGATGATGAAATTAATTCTTGAAAGCATAAACCACAATGCATAATTGATCAGACATTTCATTATCATGGTCTAAGTTAAGATTTACATTACAATACTAGCAGCTTATTTTAACTCTATCATCTTAATGCAATACTGGTTTCATTGCAGGAAGAGATGTTTGAATTGTCCCGGATAATTAACCATAAAGAGAAATCCAGTTAATACTCTTGGGTTTCAGAGTAGATCTGTTTAGCATAATCTTATCATTTGAGTTTATTTCTAATACGCTCTGTGCAGTGGACAGAGCCTACTGCAGAGATGCATTACCCAACTACTAGCATGTTTTGCTTGTTCTGTGGTTCTTTTGGTATCTTAGTGGGATATTTTGTAAGGCCAAGGGAGGGGAGGGTTAGCTTTGTGGCTGATGTCTGGGACTTGCTTATAGACCTATTTTCCTTGGATGCGAGTATTACTGCATCTTGTTGGTACTGCTAATTTTTGCTGCAGGTTTCTTTCATTTATGCTTTACGGAAAACCTCAGTAGGCTACACTAAACATAAGAACAGAATAAAAGACCAAATTCTGAAAACTGCAAGCAACTGCACACCTAACAAGAGATATTCTCCATGGTCAGCAGCTTTCCTTGATGCACAGCAAACTCATGACTGGAAGGAAGTTTCACGATCACTTTGTAGTGCAGGATAGAAAGTCATTCTTCAAAGAAGGAAGTCTACTATTCTCCTGGGCGTGCCTGTCATTGGGTCTCAGTTACTTTTGTGGCTTTCCACTCTGGCTTCATGTAAACAGAGGGAACAGATTACTTCACATAGGCTGCTTGTTACTTATTATATGCCTGCATTGGCTCTTGATTAATTGGATACCTCAGTTAAAAGAGAATATCACAAATATGTTGATTCTTGCATAGAAGATCTTCAGTTCAAGAATATTTGGGTATAGTTCTTGGCAAAGGCAAAGGTTTTGAGAATCTAGTAGGTGATCTTTCCAGAGAAAGAATGGTTAGTTTTCCGAAAGGAGTCCTCACCCCCCCTTTTTTTTTGGTGCCTTTGGTTTTGTGTCATAGCGCAGTTGAATGTTTGCAGGCAATAAAAGTCTGGGAGTGCGTATCAAGCAGCCTTCTGGACTCCAGCTTGATAGTTGGAATGTGTATGTCGCCCACTTCAATCAAGGTACATTTGAGGTTGTTTGTCTTCATTCATTTCCTTCTTCTGCAAGACAAAAAACAACAACAATGGTGACCCTGAAAAGTATCCAGGCCTCATGACTACTATTTAAGGAGCCCCTGTTTCATGGCCCAAAAGAGTGTTATGGTGCACACGAGCCCACACTTACTCAGGGAGGGGAGAAGGTGCGTGATGTGCAACCTGAACCTTTAGTACTAAATTGAAAGCCATCACTAGCCATGATTATATATGCAAAAAGGATGTCACTCCCTTTCTGTATTTGCAATTTGCGCTTACAGTTAATGAGAACTGGCTCAATTTAGTACCCAGTGTACCGATAAGGACTGCACTGAAAGTGTATCGGCTTCATCACAACTGACTAGACCTGAATTCCATGGATGAGCAGGGCTTTGAAGGATGATGGGCAAGGAGGAAAAGATAGATCATCTGTCCACAGGGCTATTGAGGTGCTGTTTAGTATCTAACAAACATATATATTTAGGGGGAGAGTCATACCTACACGTGCTAAAAGCTTGCTTGGAGTTGTGTACATAGGCTTGAGTTTTTGGCATTCATGCAGAAGCATTTGCATTGCATCCAGGGATATAGTTATGCAGAAGCCTTGACACGTGCACCCCTCAAGTAAGCCCTCTCTATTAAATACTTGGTTTCTCCCTGTACTATGGCTCAAAGACTGAGCTTCCCACCACCACATGATGAAGCAACTATGCTCAAGTAAAGCAGGTGTGGTCAGTACCTGGGTGGGAGACAATTTGGATACTATTTGCCAGCTGGAGTTTCACCATGGAAGAAAGGCTGGATATAAAGGTAATAATTGAAATAAATTCAAATTGCCCACTGCAGTTACTGTTCCTGCACGAGCACTCATCTGGGTAAGCTATGCAGTTAAGCACAGCTCGGAACCACCATTCCCTCATCATATCCCATAGTCCTGGCACTTCTGAATGCATGCCTAACGCTATCCTTCAAGGTACTAGTCGGTTGGAGGATGGTGTCTGCCCTGAGAAAGGTTCCATATACACAATAGAATCACCTTTATTATCCACTTGGAAGTCAGATGGAAGGAGATTGTCTTGCCGGTTGCCAAGCACAAATGCCAAGAAGGAGAGAATGAAGGCGTCCAGGATCCCAATGATGCAGAGGATGTATGCCCAGCGCACTGTGCACACTCCCAGTGTGTATTTGTCAGTCTTCTCGCCACACATACGTTTCACCTCAGGTGAGTCCCAGCCATCAGGGTAGAGCAGGCAGCCTATTGACAAGCCTGCACCTGCAGGGAAAGATACTTTGCATTAATAAGATTTCCAAATAGATGACTGCAGGCATCTTGTCTCATTCAGGATGTTTGCATGGTGCAAGAAGGTTTTCGAACATAATCTTGGTTCCAGTAATGTCCTTCAAATCTCTCCCAGAAATTGTGGGATGGAGGGGGAAGAGAGGCTGAATGAAAATTAAGAGAGCCAAACGGCACAAATGGAGTGCTTTTGCTCAGTGTTGCATCAGTGGTGACACAAGGCAGAATCTCTTGCAAACTGCCACTCATCTCCACAGCATGGAGAAGGTCATTGCCATTCAGCGTCTCTGCCTTTGATGGGCACAGTTCTATGTTAGCTTAAGTAGTGATGATATGAATGTGTGGAAGCAATTTTCAGCACCAGGTCCTTCACTACAGAGTAACCACACCCCAACCTCATGCGTCTAAGACTAGGAAGGAGGCTGCTAGATATGGATTATCATTGTAGTAGGCAGCTTGTTTTTCTGGAATATAACTTATATGCCTCATGCAATCTACTGTTCTCTTAAGTGCACATGCATATAGTTTGCCTGTGACACCAGCATATTATATCCCGTACATTTAAGTGGTATGGTTGTAGCATCTCTAAAGAATAAGTCTTGTTCGAGTTTCTTTGCTGAGAGATGTAGTTTTGCATCATTTCTTTGTTCCCTTGGCAACACTTCAGTTCCAGGATCTTGAATGCAAAATGACTTCCCTTGGGACCACTTGCATTATTTATGACAACTTTATTTAGATATCTGAGATAACACATCGCCACAGTTAAACGCAGAAGATGCTTTACACATTACAAAAGAGATCTGTGAATTGTTCTTCAGCAGTGCCTGGGGCCGCATCCATCACAGGAAGCAGTGTGAGGACCAAGTCCTTTGCAAACACAGCAGCATCTTCGCTGCTGAGTTGTGCCACTGCAATAACTAATGTAGATCCCTTTTGTAATATAATCCTGTCTAAAGAGGGATGCAGAATGGTGGTCGCAGTACATTCATGTGTTTTTACAACACTGCACAGACATTCTAAGCCAACAGGAGATCCCCAGATTCAAGATGTTACTGGCTTTATTTCACCTGTAGTAATTGTGTTAGGGCATTTTATCTACACTACAGATATGGTTTAGCTAATCTGATGGACTGGTCAATTTCTGCTCCTTAGAGAATCCAGTAATAGTAGCTCTGTGAAAAAGAACTGTGGATTTTTCTTGGCACCTCGTCTGACTCTGAATTACATTAATCTTTGAGAAAAACTATGAAAGTTAAAGGATTAAAACAGTAATATGCACTTGTGGTGTTCCTATTCTTTTTGAAATAGAAACCAAGAGCGGAATGGGACTGACAGTCAGCCTAGCTGGCCTGTAGCAAAGACAGACAAGCCACTAATGAGATATCTATAGATCATTAACCTCTCCTACAAGGAGAACAGAAGCTGCTAATGGAGCAAAAAGCTCAAGATGACTCATCCAAACAAACCAAGCTGTAAACAACCAAATAAGCCAGGATTACTGCATAAGTATGGAATAGGGTTCATTTATGTAGCATTGCTGTTCTGAATTAGACTTGTTTAAGTGCTTCTGTTGTCATGGAATCATTATTTGTATGTTAACACAAGCCCTTCTGAGCTGCACAAGCATTTTTCATCACTGGCAAGTGTGGTAGAAAAAGCATCCAGTAAGGCTCTGTTAATATCCATTGTGAATGTTCTTTCTGTGACATGCAGCAATTGATGCTCTAAAGCAGCCACATGGTCATAGTTACAGTACTTTGATATACTACTATACACCAGTGCATCAAGAGACAGTATAACCTCTGTTGCAGAGCATTCTTTCATGCCAGTAATAAATGTGCTGCCTTCTGTCTTCCTTGCTTACAGACACAATTGATCTCTGCCGCTAGGAATTGTGATAGCCCAGACTACAATGCCATAACATGATGACAACTCTCTGGCACTGCTTTCTCCCTAGGATGGACTTTATAAAGAAAGAAAACTGATTTATTAGCTTCCCATAAGCTTCCTCTTCATTATAACCCGCATCCCTTCCTGTCTTAGATCTTAGTTGGTGTTTCTGCTGGGACTTCTACTTAATGTGCCATGCACAGTTTGATTTGACCTTCTCTCCCAGATTACACTGAAATGTATAAATGTTATCTTTCCAGAAAGCAGAGGTTCATTCTTCACACCCTGAGATCTCAGACAATTCTGTAAGTCTTTGGTAAATAAGTTCAATGACCCTCCAGTTCAGAATAAATGGGTTCACTGGTCATGTATGGGATTAAGATACTAAACCGGCAAGATGAAGAGTCATACATGGTTTAAATAGTCTCCTACAATAATGCAAGTGGGTATCATAAAATAGATCAATGCTGCTATTTGGCATCTTTCTTGGCAGCCAATATGGCAACATGAAACATGAAATTTTGCACTTGAAATCATTAAACACACACACACCCCTGCTTACCCATCCTTTTCTTTTCCTCCTGTGTTTCTGCTCTTTAGTTACTGTGAGCCACTTGTGGGCCTTTTCAAGCCTCTAACTCCCAAGTTTTGGAGACAGCTGGAACCAGAGGCTTCCCTTATTATTCTTATTCTTATCATCATCATTATTAATTACATTTGTATACTGCCCTATACCTGCAGGTCTTGGGGCGGTTCACAGGATAAACTCAGAATATAAAACCACAAAATACAGTATTGTTCATCTTGGTTCATCTTGGTTTATGCCACCAATGTCTCTCACAAATGTACGGTATCTTCCACCTGTTGAAGCAGAATTCTACAGGTAACATAAGAAGGCTATCAACATTTCTCACTGGTGTAAATATTTCAAAAGGTTTCAAGTGTCTTGATTATATGTCAACTTCTTCTGCCTGTAGACCTAGCAGGACTGAGTCTGGACAGCTAAAAGCTTCACCAAATCCTAGCTGTGCCTTCTCTTGGACATAGCCATTACTAGCAGGGCTTAATTAGGCAGTCACTCTTATTCATTACGTAAACACCAGATTAAACAGGATAATCTACGGAGAGTAGAAAGTTGACTGTAGTCCACAAAAGCTTATGCCATAATGAATTTGTTTGTCTTTGAGGTGCCACAAGACTTCATCGTTTGCACTGCAATAGACTGACCTGCCTACCCCTCTGGAAATTTAAGGCAAAAAGGTGCCTATGGAAGACTTCACAAATTGCATATTTAAGTGTACGTTCAAAAATAAGAAAATATTAATTGTACAAGGATTCACTTGCCATCATATGAAGCACATAGGTGCACTGATCAGGGAGCAATGATTGGCTGCAGTGACAATTTAGGGTTTGCATCTATGTAATCTGGGCAACCACTTGTATAAGAAGTTGGAAATGCTTTATTTCCTCTAAGGAACTGATATATACAATCCAAAACCAATTTCACTCACCATCTTATGTACTGGGAGTTTCAGCAGCAAATTTTATGTTCCGAAACCTGGTTTGTGTTGGTGCCAATGTAGCGTGAATCCAAAATGGCCACTGGCAGATTTGAATTATATCTACACAGGTGGCCTTTGGAAAACAGAGGCAAAGAACTATTTTGTCCCCAATATGATATTGCTTGGCCCTGAGGCTACTCCCATTAGCGCAGGTGTGTGACTCTTACAAGAGTGTCTTCCCCTCTCCCTCCAGGTCCCCTAAGCCCCACTCACATGCTGCCAGCTGCATCCAAGCGCACACCTTGAAGACAGTGGCTGCGTTGCAGAAGAAGAAGAGGCTGAAGCAGAAGATGCAGCCAATGATGAGGAAGGTTGAGATGCCCACAAAGAACATGGCTGTTTTGAAGGCACTTGAGGGGATGGTGCCAAAGTCCAGCGGGCTGCCCTTGCAGATGAGTTCCCCTGTAAGGGCATTGCCAATGCAGTAGGAGAAAAGGCCAAAGTAGCCAGCCTGTGGTGTGTCAATGCTGTCCCCGATCCAGTAGGGCTGGATGAAAGTCACCACCATGATCACAGCAAAGCAGAGGGTGAACAGAGCCCACAGGACCCCCATGGCTCGGGCATTCCTCACATAGTTGGTGTGGTAGATTTTTGCTGCCTCCTGGGCTGGGAGCATCTTCGCCATGGCGACTCCTAGGGTGGGTTGTTTCTTCTAGGAAACAGGTGGTAAGGGTCAGCACTGGACAGGGGTCCTAGGAGTTGAAAGTCAGGCGCTCAGCAAGCTGGCTGCTTCCTTACGCCAGGAAATGGGAGGGGGAGCAGCGGGTAGATGCTCTGAAGCTGCGGAATTGGGGCTCCAGGCTCAGCTTCCCAATCCTAGACGGTACTTCAGGGCTCTGGGAAGTAGCTCTAGACTCAGAGACCCTTCCCGGGCTTCAGACGCTGGGTCTCCAGAATGCCTGTTAAGTTTCTGTTCTGATCTGCTCCCTGAGAGCCTGCGAGAGCCTGAAGGTTACTTAGCCGTGGCTCCTCCTCCTCCTCCTTTTCCCGGATCTCCCGGTTTCTAAGCGGCGGCTGCCACATGCCCTTCAAAGGGAAGCTCCTCCCTGCTGTTGCTTCCCCCGGTTCTCTCTTCCGCGCTCTGCTTCAGCACCATGGACAGCGGCCGGCAGAGAAAGCCAAGGGAAGAGAAGGGAATGGAAGGCGTGTAGAGCGAGGGGGAAGGAGGCAGGCTGCAACAGTTGCGCACAGCACGAATATACACTAAATTGGACGAGGCGGGGATACAATCCGATCCGGGTGTAGGACGGGGACGAATGGCAATTTTGAACATCTGTTTATGCCTTTGGCATCCAAGTGGGGACAGTGGTTTTCCAGGCTTTCATCAGCCACGTCCTCCAGGACTAACTGAAGCTTAGTAGGGTTTTATCAATGAATTGTTCATTATTTTCATGATTGACCCATTATAATTCTGACTCCCTCAGAGACCAAGTGCTCATACCTGATGTAATGCAAAAGAATGCTAGCTGCTCTCTATTCGCTATATAAAATATATTCATTGCAGTAGCCCCTGAATCACAACACTTCATATTCTGTGGTTTGAGGAGGTGTTCTGCAAGGATGGAGACAACTTTCCAAGGTAGCTACATTTTTTTGCGTTTTTCAAGGTCTTTGGAATATTCAAGGGAAATGTAGCTTGAAGCTTACGGTTAAAAAATGTTTTTATGAAGTTTGTTAGTTTGTTTTCAGCAACTTTGCAGTGGCATGGATAATACAACTGTGGGTTGAGCAAGGAACTGGGTGAAGCAACCATAAAACCATATCTTCATTCCATCTTCATTCCATGCCACGCCATTCCAAGGTTTGGAAGGGCTAGAAGCAAAACAGAAAATGCCACCCCCTCACCACTGAGCACCCACAGCACTCCCACCCACCTGTTCCTCCTCCATTGCACACCTGCAGCCAGGCACCCACCTACGCACCAGCTGCCACCTGTTGTTGGCAGGGAGGGTTAAGCACACAGAAGAGGGGGGAAAGTCAGCAAGTACAGGCCATGCTTCATGGAGGCTGGGTCTGCCACCCCTACCATCTTTCCAGAGTCTGCCACCCCAAGGCAACTGCCTCATCCCACCTCATGGATCGGCCAACCCTGGAGGGACCCACAGTTTCATCCAGAACGATCCCACCCAAACTCATAACTATATGTTATATGTACTTGGTCCAATTCTCCCGTTCCTCCTCCCATGTGCCCCTGCACCTCCCCCAATCTGCTCTACAGAGTTGAGGGGAACCCAAAACAGATCTGGGGTGTGAGGTACAAGGGGCATACAAGGGAGGGTAGAAGAGGAAGTTCAGTTCAACAACTGGAAGCTTTCCTGCTTGTGCATTGACTTGGCCATTGCCCCTATGGACAACAACCTGTGAGAGTTACAAGCAAGAATGATACCATCAAAGTCACTAATACCAGAGTCATGAGCTGCCTGAGTAGATAATCTAGAATGTCTAAACCAGTGGTTACCCAACTTTTTTGACCATGCCCCACCTAAGCATCTTTAAAATCCTGATTCCCCCCCATGACATATAATTCAAAAAGTGAACTCCTATTCATGTGGAGGAAGCCTAAAAGGCCATTCACTGTTAATAATTCATTCTCGAATTGCCCCTCTTAAAAATCAAATTGCCCCTCTGTGGGGCATGTGCCCCACATTGGGAACCAGAAGTCTAAACTGAAACTTACTTAACTGCTGAGAGCATTCAAAAAATCATCTCCCTGAACACCTGAGCCTGGCCTTGCAATCCAAAAAGTCCACACCTGTGCCCTGAGAAAGTTCCAGCAGACTGTACCTGTTACTGGACTCAAGGTGATGTCATATCTCAGGCTGTCTGAATAATAGCTCTGGGAAAGAGCAAGCCTTTCACACCTGCCTGCTGTTCCTTATGTTGGCAGTCCTGCTAGATATTCAAGAAGACAAAAGGGCCATGAAATGAGTAACACTGAGCAATAAGCTTTTCTGTTGTTTTTACCTAGTGGCAAGTTATCCTTTCCTCTGGCAGTATAAGCCTTCCATGAAAGGTAAGAAGGGAGGATCTGCCCTGCCAGATTCATGCCTGGTGCGATTATATCTGATATATCCAAACATCTGCGCACGTGCTCCAGTTCTTTCTGAGAGTGTAAACATGCAGGAATAGGGAGCTGTCCCATACAGTGATCAAACCTACAACCTTGGCATTATCAGCACCATATTCTAACCCAGTGGTTTTCAACCAGTGTGTCATGGTACCCTGGGGTGCCTTGAATGATGGTCAGGAGTGCCGTGGGCAACACTGGCCCCTGGCCCTCTTTCCTTCCCTCCCTCCTCTGATGCCCTCTCTCATCTATGCCTCCCAAAGGCTTGCACAGCTGTTTGTTGCAGCAGCCTATGGCTACAAGCTCCTCAGGTGAATGATGCCTCTGGCAGGGGGTGCTGTTGCTGGAGTAAGTAAGCAAGTGGGAAAGGGAGCCCAGCCACCCACCAGCCCTTACTGTTGGGAATGGAGAGACAAGTTCCAGGCCCCTGAGGGGCAGTGTGAGGAGGCACCTCTCTTTGGGGCTGGGCAGTTCAGAGACCAGGGGCGGCAGCAGCAGCTGCCCAGAGGACTCCCAAGGAGAGGTGGCTGAGGGAACAGTCCATAATGGAGGGAGTTCAAAAAGAGGCGAGGGGCTGCCAGCTCTGCAGGCAAGGGGTGACATAACTGGGCTCCTGAGCCCCACAGGGGTGCTGCAGAAAGAATGTAGTTGGTCAAGGGAGCCATGGATTCAAAAAGGTTGAAAACATCTGTTCTAACCAACAGAGCTATCGAGGCTGACTGCACATGATACTCTCCTGTGGCCTTGGGTGATTTTGACTGGCTTGTTTGTTTTTTCTTTATTTTTAACACACACAGCATTTTTCCATTACATGTACTCATATATTTTGCAAGAAGGCACCCATGTGACTTCGAGGGTAGGCTTTATAAGTCTGAAACATGCCACGTTCTGGATTCTTGTCCAAGGTGCACCAGATAAAACCTTTGGCTTACTGCTAAGAAGCAATGAAGAGCCCTTGGGTTTTGTTGCTGCTGACACTTGCCTTGGCAGAGGCCTTTTCTAGCCAAAGAGGACTCATCTTGAATCTGGTAAGAGGTTACTGGGTACTCTTGCTGTACCCTTTCCAGAAGCATCCCTGATGCGAGGGATTTGCCATGTTGTCTGGCTCTTGGGATTCTCTCTAGTATTGAAATTGCTACCCAGTCATGTAATAGGGAAAGACTTTTACAGGGAGTTCTTCAGACACTTTGTTTGATTTATGCATATGATCCATTTCAGGATTCATTTCAGAAATGCTTTAGTTGCCCCAGTTCACTTTAGGAATAGGAGTATCAAACAAACACTTTGAGCATTAGGGTACTCTAGGATATCAGCATAAAAACCAGGGCACACAAGGTACCTTCCTGCCTATATGGGAAGTTTCTTTTGTGAGGTTGAGGGATGATGACAACACAGTATCTCCAGTGGCAGTTTGGAAAGGACATGAGTGCGGCAGAATCAACTTTATGTTACTTAAATATAAGGTCCATAAGATTCCATGAAATCCTCTATTCAGGGAATATAGACCTGTGAGAGCTGGGTTTGGCTTCCAGCTTTCGTATCACTCCCTTGGTTGGCTGGCTTTGTTCTCTGGTATGCTTTGGGAATGGATGGTGGTTCATCTGGCCTTCATCTTCATGCTAAAGATAAAAGATAAAGGACTCCTGGACTGTTAAGTCCAGTTAAAGGCGCCTATGGGGTTGCGGCATTCATCTCACTTTCAGGTCGAGGAAGCCGGCGTTTGTCCACAGACAGCTTTCTGGGTCATATGGCCAGCATGACTAAATTGCTTCTGGCACAACAGAACACCGTAACAAGTGCCAGAGTGCACGGAAACGCCATTTACCTTCTCACCACAACAGTACCTATTTATCTACTTGCACTGGCATGCTTTCGAAGTGCTAGGTTGGCAGAAGCTGGGACAGAACAATGGGAGCTCACTCAGTCATGGGGATTTGAACCGCCGACCTTCTGATTGGCAAGCCCAAGTGACTCAGTGGTTTAGACTACAGCACCACCTGTGTCCATCTTCATGGACATTGATCCTGTTGCTCACACCTTATCTAATCATGGTTACCTTATAGGAGAATGGAGAGCTATGTCTCAACAGTCTCCAATGCAAAAATGGATGCTGTCACAGAGGGAGTGGCCTAAGCCTGGCTCGTTGTGCAGACAAAGCAGCTGAGTTTCAGGAGTGCTCTCGGTGGGTAAGTGGCATTTCCTATTCCTTAGGAGTGACTGGTGCTTCTTCTGGCCTTTATCTTCTTTGTTGGTGGCTTAAAGATGTCAGTGGAGATTCAGAAGAACGTCAGACAAGAAAGAAGAAAGCAGTGAAGAGAGGAATAGAGAGAAGTATTATGATCATAATGATGGGCTGGGAAGATTAAGCTAAGCAGCAGAACTAAGGATAGAGGGAATGAGTGTAAGTGAAGGATGAAGCAAAAGAAGAGAGCTGGGGAAGGTAATTACAACTGTGAACCTGAGAGATACTTAGGAAAGTGAAGGAGGATGTAGTGGTATTGGATGAAGTAATGAATTTTGGAGATGGTGAGAAGCTGAAAAGATTTGTGTGAGAGAGTGAACATGAGAAGAAGCAGAACTGAATTAGATTTTTTTTTTTAAGTCTTCTGGAAGAACCCATCACTCACTTTAAAGCAGCCTCATATATGTGGCAAATATTCTGAAGTTGGTATCAAATACAGTGAAAAGTGAGGAATGCAGGATGATGTCCAAGCCTGGTCAGCTTAGCAGAATGGAGAAGACATTGTATACATAGCTTTTCCTCTAGTCAAGTTGTGAATTCTGATCTACATCTTTGTATCTCTTGCAGCACCTTACTGGGATATACTACAGGTGTCCCTGTGAAAATGGATTAAGCTGTGAGGTTGACAGGACAATTATCGGGACTATCACCAACACCGACTATGGCATTTGTGAGGACCCAGCAAGAAAATTATATGTTGAGGAAAAACATTAAAGATGCACTTGCTCTCCTATTCTCCTTCGTGATTATTATTCCTCAATATAATTCCTACCTCTGTACATATGTTGCAGTTTAATTGGCCACATGGTCCTTTCTGATGTCTCAGTGGAAGAAAGCAGCCGACACATGGGCACAGCACTCTGCATAAGGAACTCGTCGGCAGAGTGAAGGAACGTAGCGAGCAGGTGCATGTGCACTCAGAGAGCAGAAACCAACATTTACAATATGAACACACACTCCTGTTCTCCTTCACACATCCATGCAGCAGTTATCATTGCCCAAAATAATTCCAATGTCTGCACATCTCTCACAAGTTCCTAAACTAATCCACACACGACCACAATTTGTTTAAATGGAAAATACTTCCAAATATACCCCTCATCCAACCTGCTAAAAGCCCTTATCTAACACAGATCAGACATACTTTCTCAAAACATCCATATACATCAGTTCAGCACAGCATATGCATATCCATACTCTCAAACCTCTCACAAGAACCACACCATTCCGTTGAAAATAATTTTATTACTTAGTATACCCTTTAGATTGCATTCTTTGGTCTAGACCATGTACTCACTTTTAACCCAAATATGCATTTGATAGCCTATTTCTTAATCTTTTACCATATACTTGCATGGTGGTAATGCTCCTGTTGCAACCAACCTTGTACCAGACCACAATCTACTAGTGTGTCCGATTTAGAGCATGAACCACACCGATTTAGAAGCAACAACACTTTCAGCTACAAGCTTATTGGGGCCTATAAAGAAATTGTATTACACAGAGGGCCATCATTTAGCCGAACCAACATTAAAGATTTTTGTGGCCAAGATTGTGTCTCACCTTTTATGTGGTGCACCTATCTGGGGTCACCATTGCAGGGAGGAACTTGATGTATTTCAAAATAAATTCCTGCATGTGATGTTGGCACTGCCACACAGTACACCTGGAGCACTACTAAGGACTGAATCGGGGGGAATATCATTGCAGCCAGAACAACACATAACCCAAAGTTGTTTTTCAGATTTGCAGAAAGGGGAAGGCTGGCTAAAATCTTGTAGAGGTCTGATGCAGAGTTATTCAATCTCCCCAGCAGTAATACTGTCAGATGCTCCTGAGCACAAGATATGAGATATTGTGTTTGGCGAAAATGCAAAAAAGACCTTGAATATACAAAAAATTGTAAATCTGCCACTTGGTACAGTAAAATTAAGAGAGGCCACAAAAGGGCTATGTATTTGCGATAATTAACTCACCCCACCCCCCGTAAGACATGCTTTCACCCAGCTCAGTTTTCAGACAATGCCTACTGAATTTCTGGCTGGGAGATATACTAAAAAATATGTAAAAGAGCGCCTTTGTATATGTGGATCATATATATTGAGGATCTAGTACATTACGGTATATTTTATATTGCCTATTGTATGATTCACCCAGAGCTAAGTTTATCTCCCCTCTTCAGATCGCCTTAGAAGGTCAACCAGATGATTTGAAAATTAAATGGTTGTTGGCAGAGGTTGATAAGTTCATCAGCTATAGGCTGCACTATTTGCATTAGTGGCAAGAAAGATAAGGGCAAACTTTCTGGATAGTGCAAGTGCCAAAATCCAGAGATGCTGACCAGAAGGAACACTGCTAAATTTTGAACATTGTAGATTTGTTCTGGTCTGGCACATGCAATGTCTTTCATTATGTAGTTGTGTGGTTTCTGCTCATACTGTATTGTGATGACCATTGGTTATAAACAATAAAAGCTACTGACCAACTACTGGTTTCTCAGTAACACACCAGATCTTTCTCTCCCCATTATTTTGGCACGTTCTTAATGTTTCTAACCTAACTCTAGAGACACCCCTTCAGAGACCACCATGAGGGCAGGCTGGCAGACATTTGGATGGACCTGATTTTCTAAGCACTCTGAACCTTGAACTGGAGCAGCAAAGTTCAGCAGACCATACATTGATGGTAATGAGCAAATGATCAGTACACTCCAGATTCTAATGCACATAGAAGCTTTGTTAGGTAGAAGGTAGGATCCTGAATGCTTACATGCCCGGACCTTTTCCTTACATAGGGAGAGACAAATGGTGATGTCATCTCTTCTCCAACTCTTTTATCATTCGCTCTTTCGTCTAGAAATGGGCCCTTTAAACACTGTTGTCACTCTCACCCGAATAGCAAGCTGGTGGAATATTGAAGCTGTTGACTCTTTGGTCCTGAATAATGTGGCTGCTGACAGTCTCAAGGGGGTAGAAGCTGTGGTCAGCTCTTGGAAGGGGATAGAAGCTGTGTCCAGTCTCATCAGTGCCTTGGAGGGTGTGGAAGCTACGCCCGCTGTTGTCATGGGTGCTGTCAAAGGAGACGTTGGTGCCGGTGGGCTCAGAGGAGACGTTGTTGGGACCGAGAGTGTGGCTGCTCAGGTCAGAGGGGTTGGAGACTTGGCTAATCCTCGTTGATTCCAGGGGGTGGACACTGATGTTGGCCCCAAAGGGGAGGGCACTGACCACCTTGCTCTCTTCCCTGTTGAGCCGGAGGCTGAGGATGACCTTGCAGGCCTGAGCCTGCACCTCCTCCTCGGGGTGGATGATGAGAGCAAGCAGGCGGTCGGAGAGGCGGGAGTTGTTGCCAAAGATGGTTTCGTGAAGGGAGTTGTCGCTGTACTGCCACTGCATCGACTGGTACTGCGGGGAGAGGCGCCCTTCGCTGAGGCGCTCCACAAAGACTAACATCTCATAGAGCAGGTTCCCTGGCAGGGATGGTTGGAAGAGGCTCAGGAACTCAGCGGGTGTCTTGGGGGAGAAACACCACAAGTGGCTTTAGTCAATGTCTCATCTTCCTTCCCCTCATTCCTCCTCATCCCCATGATGATGATGATGATGATGATGATGATGATGATGATTTTATTATTTACACCCCGCCCATCTGGCTGTGTTGTGCAGCCACTCTGGGCAGCTTCCAACACATATAAAAACATAATAAAATGTAAAACATTATAAACCTCCCAATACAGGGCTGCCTTCAGATGTCTTCTAAAAGTCAGATAGTTGTTTATTTCCTTGACATCTGATGGGAGGGCATTTCACAGGGTGGGCACCACCGCCGAGAAGGCCCTCTGCCTGGTTCCCTGCAACCTCACATCTCATAGTGAGGGAACCTCCAGGAGGCCCTCAGAGCTGGACCTCAGTGTCCAGGCTGAACAATGGGGGTGGATGGTATACAGGGCCCTGATCCATGCATGTGGATCTGTGAATAAGTAGTTAATGACAATAGTAACCCTCACTTTCAACCTCTGTCACTGGGGATGCTGTAGGAAATGGAGCAGCTGCAACCAGCAGGATGCCATTATTTCCTTTGTCCACCAAGAGGTTCTGATATTTTTACATGCACCAGAACACAGAGTCCTGAGCATGGTGCAGCTCCCTACACTCCTGTGGCAACAGAGAAACTTTCGTGCCAGTGGGGGCAGGTGTGAGTGATGGTAAAAGAGTGAGCCACCAGACTAAAAGCCTGAACTTGGTTCCAAGACCTCCTGGGTTTCTGCTCCAGAGCTGGACCCTAATTTAGGGGATGCGTGGTCATATGTTCTACTCTACAGAGGACAAGCCTCTGGTTAAAGGTCTATCCAATCCAAGTCTAGTTTAAAGACAAAGAACCGTATGATGGGAGAGCAGGAAGTTCCCTTGAATTGTTAGCACATGGACCACAGACTGAGCATGAGCACAGGTCACCAAGTTCAGTCTTCCCTGCTATGGTGGCATGTATTGTGTTTCCATTTAAATCACTGTAACCATTTTAAAATTTGCACCTATACATATAAATTAGTATTTGCCAAATTTATGCAAAACCTGTCGTCTTGTTCTCTTTCATTGGTGATACGTTTCCTCCTTTCGGTTAATGCATAAGCAACCACTCTGCTGACAGAGCTGCCATCTGCCGTGTGCTGCAGCTGTATCCTTCAGTCACCTGGGCAGGCTAAATGAGCCTAGCTGGAGCTTCCAGGAACTCCTGCCATGTCCTGTTTCCTCCTTAGGCCAGAGCAGCCATGCTTTCAGCTTTCCAGCACTTCTTAAACCTCTCAGCTAAGTCTCCCTATGAGAGGCTAAGGATTTAAAAGAAGAAGATGTGGCCTATTTCTCCACCATGGGAATTTGTGTATGGGCATGCTCAGCACATACACAAGAGTCCATGCAAAACTGAATAATGTCAAAGGGGTCTCGTACGGCAGCCAGATTGTTTGGAGCATGCAAAAGGTCTGGTGGCCATAGCGCTAGTCCCACATGGGCCCCGCCCACTCTACAAGGAATAAATAATCCTGTTCTGAGAAAATGAATTACCTATTGCCTATTAGAAGATTGACATTTCTAATATCAATATGCAACAATGAAAGGGTGCGGCTGCTTCCAGGCAGAGCAGAAATTGGGTGGGCTAGGGTGTTCGCCTTCAAAGGATGTGATTCTGGCTCCTATTCAGATGCTGACTCTTGTACATTGGAATGGAGTGGCTTCAACTGAGCCAGCATTGATTCCCTAGTTGCAGTCCCTGGGCAACATGTATTCTCATGCCTATGTCTGGATAAATTCCTATAACTAGAGCAGCTATCCCAGGGCTTTTTTTCAGCCAGAACTCTCCAGATCTTAGTTCTGGCACCTCTCAGGTGAGTACCATTGCCATTCTAAGAGAACAAAAGAGGTGTTCATGGTGCATTCCGGTGCCTCTTTTTCTAGAAAAAAACACTGACCTTTCCCAACCTCTGTCCTTCTGATATTCTTTATCCCCCCACCCCAATACAAAGCTTTCTCACGCTGGCAGGCACAAGGGCAGTCCTTACCCGACAATTCATGATGTCATGCAGCAGGTCTTCCTTCTGGGCCAGCGTGCTAAGAAGCTTGAGAACCTGCACCTGAACAAACAAGTGAGAATGTCAGGGTGTGCAGACACGGGTGGGTACTAGACCCCCTTTGCAAGCAAAGTAATAATTATAATAAAAAATATTAATGCTTTCTAGTTGGGCAGTGGGGTTGGGGGCAAACTGCAGCAAAGAGATAAGCCACGCTGAGCAAGGAAGATGACATTTGCTCCTTTCAGCTGAAGGGAGCAACCTTCCAGGCTACATCATGTTCTTCAACAGATTTGGGTTTCTGAGCAAGAATAAAAATTGAGGCTGTAAGTTCAGAGTTGAGAATAGATTGATCTTTCCCTCCTTGGATGATCAGGTAGCCTGGACTTACTGGAGGACTCGGGTAACACAAACCCTAGAGAGAGCATACTGAAATATTTCAGACAAAAATATGAATGTGCAAAGTTACTTTATAGACTGAACCAGACCACTGGTTTATCCAGTGCTTTCTACTTGAGCTGGCAGCTGCTCTCCAAAGCCACACTGATAATTTGATCAAAGGTCAGGGTATAGATCCTGTTTCTCACTCTACTTCTGATGTTCAGGCTGTGAGTGCCATCAATTACCGGTATGTGGCCAATAAAGAACCATTCAGGAACAAGAGGGAGGTATCAGCAGTCTTGGGTGTGTGTGGCAGAAGTCCCCATAGTTTGCAGAAATACAAAAATAATACACAGAAAAACATCCTGAGGGGAGGGGTCCACAAAACTCCCAGTGGGGACTGTACATACTCAATAGAACAAACAGACTGCCTGTGGGTGAGGGGAACCAGAGAGCAGGGAGACTGAAATGGAATGTAGTGACTGGAACTCCAAGCAGGAGCACTCTAGGCTGCAACATTTTGTTGCAGAACCCACATGTAATAAATAAAAGATTCATTTAGCAAAAAGGCGAAATATTAGTCATCAGTGTTTCCTTCTAGGAACTACTAGAGCATGAAGTTGTACTACTTCCCAGCTCCAGGCTAACGCTGTACCTGAGGAGGAAGAGAAGGTACCTGCCTGTGATTTTTTGTACCTTGGCCATAGTGTTTGCCATGAGAAGGATTTCCAGGAAGTTTGGCAGCATCCCTCTCAGGAGAGTGTGGGTGTTGTCTGGAATATTCAACCCGTTCAGCAGCCTCAACCCTGCAACCTGAAGGGTGGGGTCCCAGGAGCCAGTCACCAGCTCAACAATCTTGGGAACGTATTCCTGCATCAGAAAACAGACCAGCATTTTATTTTAAAGACTCGCACTCTGCCCTTCAGCAGTATTGCAGGCAGTTAGGCCCCCACCCCACAGATGGCAACGAGTGCTTCAAAAGGTGGTAAGTCTTTGCCGCAGCATTTCAGGCCTCCGGCTCATTCTGCCGAGAGGGCTCCTAGAGGCACCACCGCCTGCTAGCAATCCAGGGTGAAGTGTAAATAGTCCTTTTATGGCTATGATGACTATCATATCAGGGTATCATCCCGAGCAGACCTCACCCCCTGTACCTGTTTTTCAGCTTCTGCTCAGAATCGTGGGAAGGAGCAGAATAAAGAGTGACTGAGAATACCCAAAGCATGTATTTGCTTTTGCCACTGATTATCGTAGAATCATAGTTGGAAGAAGAAGAGGAAGAAGAAGAGTTTGGATTTGATATCCCGCCTTTCACTCCCCTTAAAGAGTCTCAAAGCGGCTAACATTCTCCTTTCCCTTCCTCCCCCACAACAAACACTCTGTGAGGTGAGTGGGGCTGAGAGACGTCAAAGAAGTGTGACTGGCCCAAGGTCACCCAGCAGCTGCAAGTGGAGGAGCGGGGAAGCGAACCCGGTTCCCCAGATTACAAGACTACCACTCTTAACCACTACACCACACTGGCTCTCCTGACCCCCTGCAATGCAGGAATATGCAGCTACCACTTACCGGGATCGAACCTGCCACCTTGGCATTATCAGCATCATGCTCTAACCAACTGAATCATCGGTCATCACAGCTCGTCCTATATTTTTAGTATTCGAGGTCAAGGGGTGTTGCCTTCTGGGAGATGTGAGCCTCAAGAGCTCCTCACTTCTTGATTATCAGGCACATTTCGGTGCAAATGATGTAGGTAGTGGCAGAGATGCTTTGTGAGTCTTGGGGGGGGGGGTTGAACTAAATAAAATTAATGATGTATTTTTATGCATTTATTTACTTTTGTTTTATTTTGAGTACATTTCTATTCCCCCTTTCCTCTGAGGAGCCATAGGTTCTCCCCTTTCAGTTTATCCTCACAACAGCCCTGTGAGGTTGGTTAAGCTGAGAGATAGGGTCTGGCCCAAGGTCACCCAGTGAGCTTCCCAGCTGAGTGGGGATTACCAGGTCCCAAGCAACCTATGTATGTCTACCCGGAAGTAAGGTCCACTGCATTTAGGGGGCTTACTCCCAAGTTAGTGCGTCTAGCATTGCAACTTTAGTTTCCAGTCATTATGGTCTACCACGGTTAATGTTTCACTCCACCCACTTTCATTCCCTTCCTTCCTCACGCTCTGCCAGCCTAGTCCTTGCGAAATGTTTCACATTCTGCAAGAAATTAAACACTCAAGGCAGAACGGATTACGTAAAGGAAGTCAAAATGCTAAAAATCCCTATAATTTGTTTTGAACAAAGCCTTTGGCCCAGAATTCAGGTTTCAGTTCTGGCTGCAGCTGAGGGCAACCTCAGCCCATTGCAAGGACTCTGCCCATTCAAAACAAAATTTTAAAATGTGAATGAAAACAAGGACAAAACACAAAGCAGTGTCTTATGTTCAGTGGCTAAGGTGTCCTCTGGTGGTGATGGTTGGAATTGCTCTTTTTTAAGTTCCCCTGTAGCTCTAACATGCACGGGACAAAAACAGTGCTCCGTTGGGGCTCAAGATGCCAAACATTGGTGAGACTAATCCAGTTTTGATTCACTAAAAATCATGGGTGGGATTCAGCTAAGTTTTACTCACTAATATGAGCATGACAAAGTCCGTTCATTTCAACAGGTTTATTCTGAGTAAAAACTAAATTGCATACCAGCCAATCATTGGGTTCACGGAAGCAGAAAGAGAGCACAGTTGTTTGTGCAGCCTAACATCATGTCAGCTGCGACAATCCAAAGTTCCATGCAAACATAGGGACAGAGGCGGATTAGGGGAGCACAACCAGTTCGCCTGCAGGAGGCGCTGCAACAATGACAAACAATGGGTGGGTGCCAAATTTTGGTGTTGCACAAGGCCCCACTGAGATTGTAAAGCCCAAAGTCCACCACCGATAGGGAATACAAGAAAGCTGCTTTATACTGAGTCAGACCCACTGGCCCATCTAGCTTAATACTGTCTACACTGATTAGGCAACAGCTCTCCAGTGTTTCAGACAGGGAGTGTCTTCCAGTCTGACTTTGGGTCCCCCGGGATTGAACCTGGGACCTTCTGCCTGCAAGGCGGGTGCTCTGCTGCTGAGCTATGGTCTTTCCCCCATTGGGGGCTGAGGCGGAATTGACTAATTTCATGTGCTTCCTGCAGGCAACTTCAAATGAAACATGATAAGAGAGAGTTTGGATCCATGAACAGGAACCCTCTTTTTTATGTAAAAAGCAGCTGTGGAGGGTGTTAAGATTTTGACTGGGGCTGCAGTGCTGGGGGTGGAGGGTTTAACCCTTTCCCTGTGCCGTTATCCTAATATATACAGTAAGTCCCTTCCATGCAAAGGCAAAGCTATTTTGCCATTGGAGGAAGTGGCAGCCACCAACTTAATTGCCTTTAGAAGAGGACTGGACAAATCTGCAGAGGATAAGGTTATCTCAATGGCTAGTAGCCGTGAGAGCTAGGCACTGCCTCCACGTTGGGAGGCAGTAATACTTATGAATACCCGTTGCTGGAAACCAAAAAAGGGGAGAGTTCTTGTGCTCAGTTCCAGCTTGAGGGTTTGCCACAGGCATCTGATCGGCCACTGTAAGAACAGGATGCTGGAGCAGATGGGTCAGTTTCCTGAGCCAGCAGGACTATTCTTATATTCTTATGTTTCTGCCTTACAGAGAGGCAGGGCACTGAACCTTCTTGCTCCCAGTCTTTATTTTATTTCTTATAGGTATTTCCCTTAAAAATTGATTCCCTCCCTCTTTCTTTTTTCTTTTCCTTTCTCCTCCTGCGATGAGGCTACATTTTAATGTTTCAATATTTTAATGTTGTATTTTAATTTTGTTTTTAAGTTGTAATCATTCAACTTGTTTTTATTATTGCTTGTTAGCCACCCTGAGCCCGGCCTTGGCTGGGGAGGGCGGGGTATAAATAAAAATTATTAGTATTATTAAAAATCTGAAAGGCAGCTTACAAAAATAATTTTAAAACAGTAAAATAAAAATAGGCAAAACATATGAACAATCAACATAAAATCAGCAGCAGAAATGAAACAGACCAAATTAATATTAAAAGTATGCTGAGGAAGAAAGGCATATGGAGGGCACAACAGTTGAGAAAACCTTAAAAGCTGTTTCCCTGCAATGTTAATAAGATGAAGCCTTCTAGAAATGATCTAGGGTAAGAACTTCAGATGCACTAGAGGTTTTTTTAGCACCGTTTCCCTAAGTGGTTACCTGGATTTTGATTTTGAACCTCCAGACGACAGTGAAAGCTTTGAGGGCATGTAGTGCCTCTGTTTTGACGGCTTTGTCTCCGTCATCCAGGAATAATGCCACCAATCTAATGTCATCATTGGTGCAAGCGTTTGCCTAGAAAGCAAGAAGCAGATTATCAGATGGGAATATGCCTGAATTGAGGCCACCTGAATTAGAGTGCTCCGTGCATTTCATGTTCACACAACACCTTGTTGCCAAGATGCTGAACCTGACAGTTCAGTCTAGGTGGTGGTGTAACTGGCCAGAGATGTGATGAATTTTCATCAGCACTTAACCCAGGGCTAGATTTCACAATGGGATTTCAGATTTTGTGGCACTTATGGCTTAACCCAAGTGTTTACCAGCCCAGCCCACTTTCTGAAGCAGCCTATGCTCTCTTAAGATTCAAAATGGAAAGAACAGCTATTCCACTGGGACATGGAATTTAATCATGGTCAGATACCTCTGACTAGCAACACCAATGCATTGGCAAGCATAAATTTGAAACTAGACAGGGAGAAAAGCTAGTAGGGAGGGCAATTTGAAGCAGGTCAGTGGCAGGGGAAGAAAAGGGTTAAGTGCTCCCCCTCAGTTGCTATTATCTACTCCTGGAGTGTCATTGGAGCTATAATATGCACACTGGTGCTTAGCATGTAACTTTCCTAGAGAAAGGTAGAAGGAACAAGTGGTCACTGCAAAGGACTCTTATGTGCTCAGAAGTTATACTCGGTTTCCCATTGGTCCCAGGAATATTCCTATTTTGCTATGGGTAGCTATTCCCTATGTACCCGGAGTTAAACAGGTATTAAGGTGACAATGTGCCTTTTGGGGCCAGCATTCTGTTTTGGAGAATCTCATCCAGTTTTGATTCATTAAAAATAATGCACTGAAAGTGCACTGAAGCAGAAACAGAGTGTTTTCTTTTTTAAAAATGCACCCAATCAGCTGCCCAGTTTGAGCTCCACACAAGCACAGAGCACCTCTTGCTGGCCAAGGGTTCCATAGGCATAGTGGGCTCAATAGTCCACAATGGGGAAACTGCATTTGCTCTTGCAAGGCTCAAGCTACCTTGCTGTTGATTTTTAAAAAACAAACAAACAAAAACCACAGAATTAATATTAGCTAATATTAGGGGTGGGACCTCGCCAAATGGGGAGCCCTGGCAGCCTACCTGCAGGCTTTCTGAATCTACAAAGCCATGCTGGACCAAATAGGATTTCCATAGCAGAGCAAGCATCAAACAGTCGGGGGGATTAACTCTAAAATACCTCCCCAACCAGAGACTGATACTCTCAAGTAGGGCCAGTTCAGCTATAGATTCCCAGCCTTCACAATCTGTGTCTTGTATGCAGCTTTCAGCTTCTGCTGAAACTCCCGCCTAGTTTTTCTCAGCGCAAGGCGGCACCTTAAATCCACACCAGTGAGAATGTTTGGTTTGAAAGATACTGGGGACGAAGCCACATTGATCACTAGAGGAATATGGTAATGCTGAACAGGAGCCAACTGCACTAATCAGGCTTGATATTGCACGTTGCATCTGTCCTGCAACTTTTGACTTTCACCTCTGATTCCTTCAGATAGATACACTGAGTGATGGTATGAAGCGTTGTCCTCTTGGAGTTGTCATCTAGGTTTGGGCTGAGAGACAGCAGGAGTCTCCTGAGCTCTCCAGGAACATTTGCTCTTGCAGATGGAGCTGGATAATACTCAACGGCTAGATCTAGAAGCAATAATCCAGAGGTGAATTAGGACAACTTACGGACATTTTTGATCCAGAACTTCCTGCATTTCTGCATCAGTGCAACAGAAGTGACAGGAAGCTTCTGTGGACATTTCAGTACCTCATAAAGCATGGATGGGGAACCTGTGGCCCTCCAGATGTCGTTAGACTGCAAACTCCATCATCCCCAACCATTATTATAAAAAATTGATAAATCACCACTGTCATCATCACCCCCAACCGTTAGCCTTTCTGGCAGGAGTTGCTAGGAGTTGGGAGTCCAACAACATCTCAAGGGGCATTGGATTATCCAGTTGGCATGGGGGTTCTCTGTGCTGATGCCACCAGTCCCTCCTGCAATCTGCATAGAGCAGGCTGTTTCACAAAGCTCATGTGTGTTGCCTCAAGCAGCTGTTCTGAAGAAACCTAGATGTGTATGGGTATCAGTGCCAGTGTTACTTCCTGTGTGTAGCTACCTAACTTGGGGAAACATTTCATGAATCTGAAGTAGTGGACTGCAGTGCTTTGAAACCTATGCCATGGTAGGCTTATTAGTTTGAGGGGCCACATATATTTTTTCTACACCCTTCTGCAGCATACTAACATGATTACCTGTCAGGAAACAGAGTTACAGAAAGACAAAAATGTGCTATCATTAACCACACAACAACTGGAGTGAAGAGTCAATGATGAAGGAAATGTATGATTAGTTCCTGGACAGTGACGTGTTGGGACTTCAGTACCTTCTGTATTTACCTACCCAAACCCAAACCCTAAGGTTTCTCTGTGTGCCCTTTCAATCTGATGCTTGGAGGGTGGCCACTAGAGGTAGTGTCCCCAGACACTAGAATGCTCTCCCTAGGGAAGCATGCCTGGTGCCCACATTGCTGTCTCTTTGGTGTCTGGTTAACATTTTCCTCTCCCAGACCTGGGTTTATAAGATTTAGTTTAGTCCCAGCTATCCAGTTGGTGGTTCTAATGTAGATATGTGATGGTTGTTTTAGTTATGTGTTGTATATAGTATTTTACTGTGCTGAATACTTTTTTTTTTTTACACAGGGGACTCAGCTACACAGCTGCAAATAAAACATTTTAAATGTGTTGTAAAGCATAATGTACAACTGTGACACTAGATGGTGACAGTGACCTATGCCAAATTCAATTTATTTTTCAAAACCTTTTTTAAAAAAGCATTCTCACAGCTTTTTTTTTAATATGTGTGTAGATTCCACCCGGATCTCTCTTAAACTTATTGCTGTTTCATTTTAGTATGGTTTTATCATTATGTTTTATTCTCTTCTTTTTTTTTATCTGCCTGGCATATAGATAATTTGCTGAATGAATGTGATGGATGGATGGATGGATGGATGGATGGATGGATGGATGATGTGATATATGGCTATGACCCTTCCGGAACAACAACAAACAACAACAACAAACATGTGGCGTGAGAATGCGTCATCATCTCCCTATATCCCATATGACTCACTGGCAAAATTCATTTGATCCGGGTTGTAGGGGGGACTTCTGAACATTGATAGGAGAGTCTTGGACACCAGATAGATGGCTGTAGCTCCTGTAGCTGCAGTTAACACATTTTTTTTAGTTACCAGATCGTAGTATTTCTTCATCCTGCCTTGAGCTTACTAGGGAATTCTGGCCACCAGCAACCCACCAACACAACCACCTATGGAAATACTTGACTGCTCATTACATGGTTTGTGATGTCACCTGAGTCCACCATAACAACTGTGGCACATCATCATCACAGGATATGAGAGGTAAGACTTCTGAGTCCTCCCTCCCCACTTGCTGATGTTATCAAAACAATGTGAGAAGTTGACCGACTACTTCTCAATGTAATCTCAAACAGTAAAATACAGGAAGGGATTATAGTTCTGGGGAAGAGCAAGTGCTTGACGTGCCAAAATCCCCCAATTCAATCCCTGGTATTTCATCTTAGAAGAATCAGCTACTACAAAGAACTTGGTGCCTTCCAGGTGTTATTGGATTATAACTCCCATCATCCCTAACCATTGGCCATGTTGGCTAGAGCTGATGGGAGCTGGAATCCAACCACATCTGGAGGGCCACAGGTTCCCCATCTCTGAGGTGGGAAGTCAAAGACGTCTGCTTGAGACCCTGGAGGGCAACTGCCAGGCAAAATAGATAATAGTGAGCTACAGAGACAAACACATTGACTTGGTTCCAGGCAACTTCCTAATATGGGTCCTAATTTAAGAAGAAAAAACACCCCTTTTTTAGACTCTGAAAAGGCAACAGAGAAGCCTGGAAAGGGCGCATCTGTTTCATCAGACCTCCTTAGGCTCATCCATCTATCTCCTAACAACATAACTACCTAGAGCAGAGGTCAGCCTGGGGGCCATATTTCCTCATATGCAACTTTCTGGAGGCCACACGCTAGAGAATATGCATGAACTTGCCATGCTTTCCCAGAAATAAAATATGCACTGCATCAAAAATAAGCTTGTGCAGAACAAACTTACTCAGTTGGGTGGCCACTTACATATTGCCAGCGAGAGAAGAGATGCCTCTCCTCAAAAAGGACAAAGAGACAGTCCAGATTTGCAAATTTAGAAAGAATTAATATTATTGAAATAAAAATAGAATGCACCTCACCAAGACCGTGACTAGGTGAGCTGTGGGCTTGCTCAGTCACCTCAGTGGGCAACTTCAAGGCCTCTGCTTTCCCTTCTCGTGGTTCCTGATCTGTAAACCAGACTTGACCTCAACAAACAGAGGACTATCCTCTGCAGCCTCGGTCTCACAGCCAGCCTACTGCTTGGAAGCAATTTTACAGGCATTGGGAGTGCTTGGGTCAGGGCTCTTGGAGGTGGACGGAGGCATCAGCCTTGCTCCTTGAAGAACCACTGGCAGGCCCCAGAAGAGGGCAGCAAAACCCTTGAGATGGCCCGGGGCTCCCCAGAGACCAGACTGAAGAATGTAACACTTCTATATGCTGTATCCTGGTGAGTCAGAAAGGAGATGTTGTGGGTGAAGAATGTTACTCAGGTTCCAAACTCGTCTTGCTTCCTTTCTTCTTTATTCAAGTATTCTCTAGACATTTCTCTGCACAGTGAGTGTTACTTTTGTTTTGCTGGAGGCTGTAGCATTCCCCTTGCATTCACTGTGGGAAGCCAAGTGCGCAGGGGTTGTGCAGTCTGCACTGGATTTAGGGTCATTCTTCACAGCTCCGTAGATGGGCAGTGGACTAGCATGGTTTGAAACCTTGGTACATACAAGGATCAGCTGCAAAGGCATTCAGGACTTCTGTTCCTAAGAGAAACCCCACACTGATATGGCAACTCTCCACCTACTGCCTCTTCAGCAGGCTGTAGCAAAGGCTGTAGCCTCCCACTCACAGGATCTTCTTTTGCTCCCTTTCCACCTCAAATACCCATCCCTGTAGCTTTTCTTCTACCTCTCTGACTTTGTAAAACTATGCCATCAAGTCAATTGGATCAGAGCAACTGCCCATCTAACCTCACATCTGCTACTGGCAATGGGCAGGAAAGGATGAGAAATTACTGCACACACGTTAAAACCACTTCCTTTTTGTTATTTTAGATCCGCTGTTTATTTCACGAGTTGCCCCTCTGGTTGGCAAGCTCTGAGCCTCAAAGCTCAAAAGGAAGTAGAAAGCAACAACCCCAAGACCACGGCAGGGGGGCAGGTGGTGGTGGAGAGTCTCCTTCTATGAGAACGGAAACACAGAACTTAGAACAGAATGGAATAAAAGAGTAGATTGATTTATTCATTTAACAAAAGGTCTATGCCTCTTGATTGCCAGAAAATCTCTAAGCGGTTTAAGAGAATATAAAGTAAAACCAAGTTCTTGATTAAAATATGGGTATTTTAAAACATTCAAAGGTAATTAAAATCAACGGTTGCTAAAAAGTGATAAAACACAGGTAACTTTAACATGTCTTGATATGCTTGGCCTAAACAACATTGTTTTAAGCAGGTGCTTAAATAAGACAGCAAAGGTGTCTGCCTGATATCAATAGGCAGTGAGTTCCAAAAAAAAAAAAAAATGATTTCTGAAAAGTGTGGGATGAATATTATGTGGCACCTGTAACATAGTCGGTTCTGCATATTGAAGCAGTCAAGTGGGAATATATGGGGTAACACAATCTGCCAAAATAAAATAGAATGATTTGCTCTCTTTCTTATGTTCAGCACAAAAAGCAGTTTTTCTCATTCTCATGCTTGTCCTCATCATGCTGCTGTCAATCCAGATTGATTAGATCCTGCTGTCCACAAGGGTGGGTGTGGTTGTTTGATAAATGTTTGAAAATTTCCCCCTTGATTAGGTCATCCACACCTTTTCCTCCCTGTACATGCCCCAGGTGAATGGAGAAGGAAGCAGTGATTCCGATCCTGGTATATGCCCTCAGCATCCTTGGGCAGGTGTAGATACACCCCCAATTGCCAGAACTGCCTACATCTGTTTTCAAATGGGCACAGTGCAGAGTAATGCCAAATCAATCTATAATGAGCTTTTATATTTGGAACGAAACCAGATTCTCAAGAAGTACTTTTCAGGGGCAAAAAGAAGGAGAAGATCTAGATGGTGTGCAGATTTACATAGGAAAAAACCAAGCCTCCACTGATTCTAGAACAAGATGTCATGTGTACGCAGCCTGGCTGTTGGGGCGGGGATGAAAAAATAAAGAATGGGAACAGTGGAGCAGCTAGCATCTTGGACAGCAGCATTTCACACTGCACTATTTTGTTGCAGATCTCATTTACAGAATAGTCATCTCATTCTCAAGTTATGTTGTGCACTTAGCTTCCAAGGTTTTCCCAGAAACTGTTCTTGGCAATGAAATAGACATGTATCTAACCATTTACAAATTATATTTGCTGAAACTGCAAGACTCAGTTTCTAAGATGCAGGCCTTCTGACCTGACTGAAAGCTTGGGAACCACACTTTGAGACTATCAGCAGGAAAGACCCACATATTTGGAAGCTTTCTCAGAAGCAGACTCATTTAATCCCCCCCCCCCCGTTTTGCTCAATGTTTTTAGAATGGTCTTGCCAAAACACTCCTGTGATGGAAACTATTTACATGGGAAGCCATCCCCATCCTCAAAAGCTGTAGGGAATCTGACAGTCCACACACAGGGGCTCCCACGTCCTCCCAGGCCAAAGTGTTTCCCACACCATGTGAAGTGGACCTCAAGAGCAACTGCACATATGCACAAGACCTTGGTCATGATTACCTGCTTTGCAGGGAATTGTGTTGGAGCTAAGGAGCAGAGTGATTAGGACCATGCCAACAAACACAACTCTGTGACCTCTGCAACTGGACCCTTCCTGACCCCCAACATCTTACTGGGGATAAAAATAGCATCTGCCCATAAAATTCTGCTTGCACGTAGCCAGATCCACACATTAGATGCTTTTTCTATTTTAATGTACCTGTCATCATGTTACCATTGCAGACCTTCACGTAAAATGATAGTCTTCCTTATTGTTCTCTGCCATGCCTTGAAATCTGTTGTAACCTTTGATCAAAGGTTGTCTAGTGGCAGAATGATATGCATTCTTTCATTTCTACCCCTTTCTTTATGCCTCCATTGCCAAGGTTCTTGTCAGGTGTTTGTGTGTTAGGGGGACCACACTGGTTTGCATATGCTAATTTATAGGTACAGCTGCAAATTTAGAAATAATTACTGTAATTCAAGTAAAAATACCACACATCTCACCAAAGAAGGGAAGACTGTGGCCGGGTGACCTGGATGTTCCCTGCTGCTCAGTCTGCCGCGGGGGAGCTATCTGTGGATAAACAACTTCAAGGCCCCTTTCTCCCTTCCTATGGGTCTTTTCTCTAAACTGAACTTGGGCAGGCCTTTCAACAGAGGATGACCGGGCCCCTTAACATAGGAGTCCTGCCCTCTGTACAGCAGGGTACACAGACAGTCTAGCACAGTGCTTGTCAACCTTCTTAGGCTCATGGGCACATATGAGGAGTTTTCGTTCTTCCTTTTTTCTCCCCTTCAATTTTATTCTTTCCTATACTATACAAATACAGAATATATAACATATAACATATAATATTAAAGAGAAAAGAAAAACTGAAGGAGAGAAAAAACAATAATAAAAGTGCATATATAATTACAATGCATATTTTCCATTCTCATTTTATACTAAATCTCCATGTAATTTGTTCAGAGATTATAAATAGATTACAGTACACCTAATTAATGGATTTACATTTTCTTACACTGTTTTCGAGTGACTGCTATGGGTATCATCCCCTCTGGTCACAACTGTCCCCTAATTTAGACAGACAGAAGCATACATGCAGACACATTTTGCTTCTCCAAGGGACTTGGGTTAAAGTCAGTTCCAGTAGAATTGATCTGAGTCTTGGAAAGCACATAGAGCTGAAAGAGGAAGTTGGAAAGAGTGTCCCTTTTCAAACTTCCACCTTCAGCTCTTTCAACTTTTGAAAGGGCATAATGGTAGCCACCTTCACCACCTTCTGGCCAAGGGGGCAGCCTGTGTGGGAGCTCAGAGGTTTCATGGGCATGAAAGGAAAACCTCAAGGTGCCCCTGAACTCACAGGTGCTGCACTAGGACCCCTGCTCTAGTGTGTGTGTGTGTGTGTGTGTGTGCGCGTGCGTGCGCATGCGTGCATGCTCACACTTGAAAGTATGTTCGGCAAAATGCACCCTCTGCTGCATGTTGAAATCTCCACTAGATTTCACAGGCCCTGCATAGCTCTTCAAGAGATACTCCACACTTGACGATAACCAGAACAGAATGCCTGTGAAATTGTGCTTATGACTACAGAGAGATGCATGATAAGATACCCCAATATGGACAGTCATTAACAGCAGGGCTGTAATCTT